CCCCCCCCCCGGTCCTTTATGCTCCCACTATGTCACTCACCCAACTTTTACTGAACTCTGTGACATGAATTCGTACAGGGGTTGGGTGACAAGTGAATCAGTATCCTTTCATCTTGTGGGGAGACAAGTAAATGACTTACCCCAATTCCACAGGTCATACATGACTTCTTGCCTTCTTCACTCTGGGTTTGAGAGTTGGGCTAACCTCATGGGTTTAATCCCCATGAAAATCATGCAGATGTGGCGTGTCCATTTCGTAAAGTACAAAGAGCTTAGACCAAGCTGTCAAAGTTTCAGTGAAGGGCATGTCCTTTGTAAGGGAGGAATTTCTCACAAACAGCTGGCCAGCAAAGGAACACTATTTCCAGGGAAGTAATGAAAAATGGCTACCACCTGTTCAGGGTTATAGTCAGGATGCTTACTGCCGGTGAAAACCAACCTAGAGCAGCAGTTCTCAAAGTCTGATTACCCAGACTTTGTTAGAAATGAACATTCCCAAGCCCTACCTCAACTCTACTCAGAGACTCTGAGGTAGTCACTACCAGTGTGTTTTAACAAACCCTCCAAGTGCCAATATTTCCAAGGAAGTAATGAAGTTGAGCGACCACCTGATCAGGGCGTTAGTCAGGATCCTTACTGTAGGTGAAAACTAACCTAGGGCAGTGATTCTCAACATCTGGTCCCCAGACCAGCAGCTTTAGCAACACAGACTTAGTGTGGTCCCCAACACTTAGCTTGGGAACCATGGACTGACAGGAGCCAGTGTCCCTTTCAGCTTGGACAGTCTTGGGATAGTTCTCACAAATCACTACCCAGCGGTCAATTTACCTGTCACCCTGCAGGTCGAAATAAGCTCTTACTAGCTCCATTCCTTGACTCCCCTATTTATCCACTAAAAATGTTAGGTGTTCTCCCAGCTAGACCCACTTGCTTGTTTTTCTGCTTTATGTAGCTGAACCAAAAGCAGAGACATGACATTAGTGGTGGACAAACCCAGCAGGAACTGGAAGGTAGGAAACGCTTGAGTGGCAGTGCTGCCCACTGTCCTTCTCTTCCTCCCACCTTCAAGATGGATCTTATGGACAGGAAGGAGAGGAAAAATGGTCCAGGAAAGGGAGAGAGAGGGAACATTCTGTACCTGATGCATGTGCTTCTTCAATGTAAATTATTAGAAAATCTGCCACGGGACTAAAATCTTCAACAAGATTCTTGAACTGGTCAAATTTGAAAAGAAATGAAGGTCAGGTGCAACTTCCAAAATTCAGCACCAATGGCCTGTTGCCTGAAACAGAAAAGGAGCCACCATAAATCAGTACTCTACATATAGCATTTCTCCTGTGAGCCCCACCTTCACTCCTGCATTTAACTCTATTACCTTCATTTCTTTCTCAGCTCCAGGCGTAGTGTGGGGCTGAATCCTGGAGCCTGTGACTTAGCAGAGGTGGGAGCTTCTGATTTTTTAATTAGAAAACAATCTCAACACCACTGATTAGGGCCCTGAAGAGACTGAGGACAATGAGTGATATTGTGGACAAAGTTTGAAATAGGTTTCCAATTTCCTGATAGCAGAAAGGAGTTGCAAGGGGGTGGCTGTGCCGAGGACTGGCACCCTGTCCCTGTCCACAGGCCATGGTGCAGAGAACGCCATTTTGAAGTGTCAGGCAAGGACCATCAAGTCAAATATATCTGCATAAATGGAAAAACATTCCATAGTAGGGCTGGATTCAAACCCACCATCATGACCTTCAGGCCAGTAAATTATCATCCACATCAGTTTTTTGCAGCAGAGAAATCACATTTACAGTTGCAAGATGACACTTCATAAGTACACGTTGGGCAGACTTTAGATTTTTAAACAGGAGCTGAAATCCAGTTTCAGATTAACTGCCAGGTACCCAGAAAATAAATCAACCAGGCTTGCCTTCTACTACAACATGACAGTTAAAGACTGTTTCATGCTAAGTTTGTGTCTGAGAGAGGTGTGTGTGTACACACACATGTGTAATTCCAAGCAGAGGATAGGAGCAGGCTGACAATTTCCCTAAGCCTTTCTTACCTAATAACACAAAGTTCACTAGTGCAAGGTTGGTAGGCATAAGTTCCAGTTCTACAAAAATGCACTGTGTGACTTTAAGTAATTTACCTCTCTGGGTTTTTATAGCTAAAGAGTGAAAGAGTTGCTTTAGATTGTGTGTAAAATGAGATTGGCATGATACCCAAAGCATACAACAGTTTTTTATTGGCCTAGTGGCATTCTAAAGCACTTACAGGATCTCTTTCTAATGGGCCAACCTAACCTAATCATTAATGTTAATGTGCTGCTTTCTGTAAACCTTTCTAGAGTGCAGCAAGATCTTCAAGATAAAGTCTACCTACCCTCTTGAATAAGACACATAAGGTCCCTCCAAGCTCTGTTCCTCGATGGATCACCAGTCTCAGTTCACCCCTTCATGCCTCCCATACCTCATCCCCCCGATGGCTTGGATCTCTGCTGTCCCTTCCCTGTGTTCTGCTTGGCCGTCTACTATTGTCTTCCTCACCCCAAGGATTCACTGTCTTAAGGCAACAAACTTGCATCCTCTTCTCCAGAAAGCCTTCCCCTCGTTGCCCCCCTACTCCACCCCAATTCTTCTAAAATCCTCTGGCTTCCTTTCCCACTGCAACATCTCCTTTCCCAGTTACAAGATCTGCCAGGGCAGAGGCCATTTGTGTTGATTTCTGCATTGCCTGTACGTATTAGTTCAGGGTCAACGTGTTATGTGTCAAATCTATTTTATAAACAGAGTTCTGTTTAGTCTCCCAATCTTCTTCTCTCTCCATGCTTGGGTCCCAGGTTCCATTCCACAACAGGAGGCAGAAACCAACAGAGCTGTCTTTTACAGTGAAAACTGGCCCACTGAAAGTGAACAGTTAAAAGAAGCGAATACATTCCATGAATTAGTCATGAGTCAACAGCCATGACAATCTTGGCTGTCATAGAACAGATCAGAAGATGATTGATTATCTCAAAAGAGAAGCTGGAGTATAAGTCAGAGCCTTTCAACCTAACTCCTCCTGCACCCCCATTCTAAGTACCTCTCAAGCACCATGTTCCTAACCTTTCATGAAGTCCTAAATTATTGATATTCAGCAAATTGGCCTGGTTCTATCACAGTGTTTGGCATATAATAGATGCACAATAAAAGTCATTATCTTCACTCACTTGAATAAATAGATGTCATTTGTGTACTGTCGTTTAAAGAACAAAAATCTCCTGCCTTTCCCTCTGCTACAAAAATCTTCCTCATCTTCAAGGCTTAGCCCCTGAGTCAGCTTCTCTAGGAAACTTACCAATCCCTGCAAGTAAAGTTCATATCTTCATTGCCTCCCCCACCACACAAAACTATAGGGATTTGTTTATGACACCCGTCTGGTCTGTGGAAACACAAACTCCTTGAGTGAGGAACAAGCTTCTATGAAACTGAGTCCCTGGCATGTAGCTGAAGACCTGGCACACTGGAGGGCCTCATGAATGGTTGCTGGTGCACTGAAAAAACAAGGTGAAGTCCTGGTTATGGGTCCGACTCTGTCACTCGCTGGCTACGTTATCTCTGCCTCACTTTTCTCCATTTCACTTCTAAAATGAGAAGGTGAGACTAGGTCAACATTTCCCAAGGGCATTCTTTGGCACCAATATGATGATGATAGACATTTACTCAAGTGGAAAGTGGGGAGTTGTGTGTGTGTGTGTGTTTAGGAAACTCAGTGCTATGTTTAAACAAAGTTTTTCAAGTTTTGTTTGTTTTTAAGCTTCAAGGCTTCTCCAAGTATTTTAGATCTTCATGTGTAAAATGTGTTTTCCGAAGTAGGCCATAGGAGTAGGGTTTCCCAAACCACTTTGACCAGTCAGCAAAGTATATCTGTGGCATTGGGTTCCAAAAGACAAATTTTGAAAAACCTAGGTTAACTACCTGCTCAGTCTCCTCTTCTGCCCCATCTGCTGTTTCTAGACCTTGGGGATTCAAAGATAAGTCAGACACAGCTCTTTCTAGAGGCTCCCCATTAAACAGGAAGATCATACTAGGTTAAGTGGCCAGATGCTGGGAAGGAACAATCAGTATCTGAGACAGGTGCAGACCACCAGCCATGAGTCCAGAAGGAGAGAGTGTCTGGCCACGTGGGGCCTGAGATGGCTTTAGGGAAGGAACAGGTGAGAGCTGGGCCCTCGGGGATGAGGGGTTTAACAGTTAGCAATGGAGGAGAAGGACCAACAGCAAAGGCAAAGAGAAGGAAAAGTCCATACAAGGGTCATACAAGGCCCAACAGCTGAGCGTGAGAAGTGAGCATGAGGAAGTTTGCAGGTAGCATTGGAAAGAAAAGTTGGGCCCTCCTAGTGGTGCAAGGGGTTAAAGCACAGCACTGTGAAGCTGTCTGCAGCCACTGCAACACCAGTTTGGTCACCAGCTGGGAGGTGACCCACATGGTGTGACAGACCTATCCTGTTCACCTGCTGTTCCTCTCAGTATTTCAGTACATCTGCCTGTTATGCTCCCCGTTCTGTCTCTGGTGGGTCCCCTCAACACCCTGCACCTCTGGCCTGTATTTCAGCTCTTGTGTGTATAAATAAAGACATCTTTAAAAAAAAAAAACAAAAAACAAAAGAGAGGCCCTCCCTGGTGGTGCAGCACTGCAAGCTAGCAGCAGCCTTTTCAGTACCAGTTTGATCCCCGTCCTGGAGGTGACCCACATGGCGTGGCAGACCTCTCCTGTCTCACCCGCTGCTCCCTTCGGCAGTGTACTTCATTGATATGCCTTGTTCTGTTTCCTACTTTGTCTCTGGTGAATCCTCTCACCCTCGGCACCTCTGGTCTGTACCCCAGTTCTGTATGCATAAATAAATAAATCTTTAAAAAAGAAAGAAAGAAAAGGTGGAGACTGTCCAGGAAAGACCTTGAACTCAGGACTGAGCCTGGACTTCATCCCCAAACACAGAGGGGAGCTGCTGAAGGTGAGGAGGCGGGGTATTGGCCAGGGGTGTGCCTATGAAAGGTAATGGGCCAACATTCACAGACTGGGTGGAAGAGAGGACAAGACAGGGAGGAGGCCTGGCAGGAAGAGCAAACTGATGGGGGAGGTTGTTAAAAATCCCAACAGATAGAACTGGTTTGTTGCCTGGAAGAGAGAAAAAACAAGTGCTTCAACAAATATTTACTGAGCAGCTACATGAGCACACCACAGTGATGGGGACACCATCGAGGGTTCCAGTGATGGTCTTCTAAGGCTAGCGAGGGTGATCGACGTTAGTCAAATACTCAAACATAATTACAAATCCAGCATAGGTGTAATAAAGAAAAGCTTAGGACGTAAATAGAGCATATAAGGGAAGGTAACCTAGTCCGGGACAGTCGGCCTCGGCTTGTTGTAGGAAATGTCATGGAAGGAGTGGAGGGGGCAGAGCAGGGTGAAGAGCACCCCAGACTCTCCTGCACAGCTGCATGAGCAGTGCTAGAGGAAGAGAAGGCTGCTGTGTCTGGCTGCTACTTGCATGCTTGGGGAAATTGTGATGCCCTTCAGAGAAACAGAACCCAGGAGAATTCCTAGTTTCAGGAAGCAGGAAGAGGACAAAAAGCCTAAAAAGCAGTAGTCAGAGTGGTAGAACTCAGGACTTACCAAGCCATCTCCCCACCCTCTTCCACCACCCCTTTCCCACCTCTCAAGCTTGTACCAGCCTCCTGACCTTGCATGAAGTCCCAAATGTTGCACCTCTGGCCTGAGAGGCAGACCACGGGGCAGTTTGGGGCCAGACCTCCTTGCTTAGCTGAGTCCTCCAGTCGCTGCCAATACACCTTTAGGATGAACCAGAAATACTGGGTGCTGAAGAAGGTTGGGCCCCAGTTCTCATAGGAGAAGTGGGGGTTCTTGGTCAGACCAGTCTTCTGGCTCCTGGCCAGGAGCTGCTGCTTGGCTCTTCCGGGAAAGAGTGTCAGCAGCGCCTTGCCCACAGCCACATGCAGGGCCACCTGCAGGAATACCCAGAGTCTCTTCAGCCATAGCCCAGGCTGGGGCATCCTCACCTTGGCACAGCCTGAGCTGGTTCTGAGGTTGATGGGCAGAGAGGCAATGGCTGGGTGACACTGGGCGGAGCTGAATGTGGGTGCAGAGTGAGAGCAGCCAGCCCCAGGCAGGAGGCAGGTGGCAGTACCGAAAGTGTTTGCCTTCCAGTTGATAGAATGGAAAATTCCAACCCTGATGCTCAAAGGTCTATGTTAATCATGATCATTTCTAATTCTCTGCCTTAACTTTTAAGGGATTCTTGGGTTGAGGGACTAGATCTTACATTCTCCCTCTAAGAACAAACACCTTAAAAGATCACAAAGAGACTCTGGTCCTTGCTAAGAAAGCTACTTAGCAAGGGATTAAGTTCTAATGTTATTAATCTTTTTTAAATGTACATTGTTCTAACTAATGAATGAGGTGTTTCCTATTCACAACTTTTAGATGGAGCCCTTACCAGAGGATTTGAATCAGGAATTTTCCTAGCCCTAGACAGAGCTAGGGCCATTCCCCTGGAAATCTGGGGCGCAGTATTCTCCTTAGTATGTGGTTCTCAAGGGGATTACAGTTGAGAGGGAAGGAACATGAAGCAGAAAATTATCATTAAATGTGGACGTCCTTAAAGTTGCCTGTGGCTCTGGGAGCATGGAAAAGGAGCAGTTAAGTCTGGTCAAAAGGACTGTCCCAAGAAAGTGATTCTATACCGAAACCAAAAGCTGAGTAGTGAAAAGTAGACCAGGAAAGTGGGGGCAGTGGTCCAAGCAGAAGGAACTCCATGTCCAAAGGTCTAGAAACCAGAGAGCAGGGCTCATTGGAGAAACGGAAAGATCCCTACTAGCTCAGGGCTGGAAAGTGTTGTGGAAAACATCTAAAACCACTTTCTTTTTTAAGCAGGGAAACTGGCAGCCAGAGAGGAGAGATGGCTTGGCTGAGGCCTGTTCTGATGTTAACTAAATCTCTGAAGTGTTCACTCACAGAACTTTGTATTACCCTCCCCTGAGGCATTTACATGCCTGAACATTCCCTGCATGTGGTTAGGGTTAAGGAGGAGGAAAATTTGACCTGGAAGCTGGCTACCACCAGCTATTGATCTTGGTATTGATCTTGGCCTTTTGCATTTTCTCTTTAAAAGACAGAACAGCTCCAGAAGATGTTGCTTGTAATATCTATTTGTCATTGTATGTTGCCTACATTTTCTGTTATAGCCCTCAGCATAGTATTGGTAGTTATTTTTAAATCCCATATAACAGTGCTAATATTCCTACCATATCTGGCTCTGGTACAGAGTCTTACTATCTTTTCAAACAATTTTTTGTCGTTTAGTATGTTTTGGAAATTTTTTTGTTGTTGAAGACAGGCATGAGTTACTGTATGAAAGGAACTGAAGTAAACAGGTGATATATGACGAGGGTTATGGAACCACTCAATAGTCCTCTGATTAGTCTCTGTGTTTAGTGAGGCTGTGTCCCTGTACTATGAAAATCTCAATGACTTCTTAGTTCCACACTATCTCAAGAGGTCCACGATGGCTAGAGGGAACTGGAGTTGGATTTCCTTCCCCTAGGTTAGTTAGGCTCTGATAAAACTTCAGTGTGTTAGACTCTGGTAAAATAGTTTCTCATGATGGCAGACCTTGTTGAGAACAGAATGTTCCGGTATATTCTAAAATGATTCATTTTCCCATCCCTGTGCCAGAAACATAAAGGGATTTTTCTCTGATCTTCAGTGAGATCCTGGCAAAACTCTCCTGGTAAAGGTGTGGGTGTATTCCCCTAAGGCCGGGGTGCCTGGAGTTCTCAACTCCCAGACTTCCTCACTGAGTTCCCAGGAATTCATCTTTCTTACTCTGGCTTCCACTGAGACTTCTGCTCATGGGCCATCAAGTTGTAATTTTGTTTCTTCCTGTTTATCTTTCCCATTTTGGGTACAAAAAATTTCCCAGCGACCTCAATTTGCTGATACCCACGAAAAGAGACTTTTTCCTTCAAATTTAAAAGCTTTTTATTTGTAAGACAGAGTGAAAGTTTCCATATGTCTTACATGCCAGATCAAAAGTTCACTTGGTTTTCACAGCAGTTTATCAAGATACTGTTTCTTAGAACGCTTTTCCTCGCATAATATATAATACGTACAAATGGAAAGGGTAACACACGTGTAGTTTCATGTTTTAAAAGAGTGATAGCAAGATAAAGGCACACATTCTTTCACCCCTTCCTTGATAAATTAATCAGTGTTCTCCAGGAAAACAGATGCAAGAGGATACCTGAAGAGACAAGTGCGCACACACACACAGCCATGATGTGTGAATATAGACGAATGTGACTCATACTAGGGAGTGTGTTTCCCCTATCTGGAGCCTTAGCTCCGCCTGTAATAAGCCATTCCACCATTCTATTAGGCTGGTGACTTCCTGGTGACTGGGTTTCATGATGAGGTTTATGTATCTAGTCATGTGTTCCAAGTTCTTTTTTTTTTTTTTTTTGATTAATAGGACTGATCCCAAGTTTTTAAAATTAAATTTATTTAATTTATATGTATCTCTTTACATTGTTGTTCATTTTAAAGCAATGCTTACTTTCCCCCAATTCACCCACACATCATCAGTACAGCCTCCCACATTCCTCCCTTTCTCCTTCCCATCCATCTCCCTCCCCATCCCCTGTAGGATATCTCTGGTTTATACTTGTCTGTTTTTGTTTTGTTGTGTTGTGTTTTGTAATGGAAAAAATAATACAATTTTCCAAATTCTTTAAATTAAATTGATCCCTTGATCTGAAGCAATGTTGGGTAGGATATCATTATATTCTCTAAACAAGACTTGCTTTCCTTTAGCAAAAGGGAAGAGAGCACTTCTGCCACTATGGAAAATTTAAGTGAGCTGAGGGGTGGAGTTAGCCAAGAGTTTTCCACCCCAATATCTCCATCCCAGGACTCAGTGATCCATTCATTTTATATCAGTGCACTGACTTTGACAGAATGCGCTACTGGCCTTGCTCAATGCTGGCACAGGTACAACTTAGAAGTTCAGGGACATTCGCTGAGCTGTGCGGTCCGTCTTCTGGGAAACGTTGCCCCCCTTCCATTTAGATCTGGGAACTGATTTCAGTCCAATGCTCTCAAGTCTAGAAAAGTAAGAATTTCCTTCAAAGCCACCATAGAGACTTTCTAGCGTTCACAGTGTCAGTAGGTTGACAGTTGACTATTGTAACCCTATCATTTTCTTTTTTCAAGATTTCCAATAAAGTTAAGAAAAGCCAAGCCACTCCATAGTCCTTGTAATTACCATTATTCTCTTACTGATAAAGAGAAGTGTCTTTATCAGTGCCCAACACCTTAACCTTCTACCTCTACCTTTACCTCATCCCACTCCACCACAGATTGTGATGCCACCCCTCACTTAGCACTAGCAGTAGGTGGTTGTTGCCATCAGACTGACCAGTTCAGTTCTAAAATTCTAACCTTAAAAAAATAGAAATAAAATCCCAACCTGAGGGCTGTGTTCTGGGGTCACTCTTGGTACCAACTGCTAGAGTGTAAGTTCCTCAAATGAAAGGGTGAGTTCCAGTACCAGGAGTGAAGGATCAGCATTATAAAGTGGGCAAAAAGAGATATTGCAAAAATGCACATAAAATTGGTCACTCCCAGAGGTATATGGTTGCTTGATCCTGTAAGATAGTTTGAAAGCTGTATGAAATATCTGAGGGGCATCAGATTATCTGAGGGGAAAATGAGAGAAGCATGTATTCAGCAGTTGTTTACCCCACTGGTCAAAGATTTGCTCAATGAAATGTCTCTGAATTCCTGTGTTGCACTTGTGCGGGTGTTGAGGAGAGCCAGCAGTCCCATGAGCCATGTTATGGAGCCATAAGCGCTGATGCTAGAAGGTGAAAAACCTCAGCATGTGCTTAAGATAAGTGAGATAAAGCTCGCTTAGGTTATACCAAAGCTGCAATAAGATCAGTGGGGTGAAATAAACAGCAGGAAAGCTCCAGAGGATCTGAGATGGGACTTGAAAACAATCTGATAGATTTGCACAACACCCACACTTTCAAACTGAGATTCATTTGTGGTGCAGATTTAACCATAAGTACCCTGCATCTATTCTAAGCCTCAACTCTCTTTATAAAAGGAGGATAATCACCTTAAGCTTAAAGGATTGTTCTGAGGATCAGAGATTCTGTATATGTATATTATATACTTTATAATTATGTAATTATATTACTTCATACATTTAATTATATATGTTTTATTAAATGCTTGAAATATATGTATGTGATTTACATAATATGTAATTACCGATATTATTATTGTTAGTCAGATTTAAAGTATTTCCAATTGGCCACAAGCACCCTGTGTGGTGAGGTCAAAGTCGAAGGTTCTGGTGTGAACCTTGAATTTGGCTTATGCTGCTTGGAAAGCCAGGACTTGTTCATTCTCCAATTAGCCTTTAGGGGACAATATTGTGTGCCCGACCCAGTACTGGGAATTCAGAGACCAGAATCATTGCTGATTCTTGCCCTCAAAGCACTCACAGATTTGAGTGGACAAGGTGGGGGACAGGGGAAGTGAACATTGTCTTAAAGTGAACAATAATGTAAATAGATATATAAATAAAATGTTAAAAAATAAAAGTTAGAGGGCCCTCCCTGGTGGCACAGCGGGTTAAAGCACTGCACCGAGAAGCTAAAGCCACTTCCGCAATGAGTTCAATTCCCACCTGCCCCGGAGGTGACCACATGGCGTGGCAGACCTCTCCTGACCCGCCCGCTGCTCCCCTCAGCAGTGTACTTCGTCAATCTGCCTGTTCTGCTCCCCACTCTGTCTCTGGTGAAGGCTCTCACCGCCCCTGAGCCTCTGGTCTGTACCCCAGTTCTGTATGTACAAATAAATAAATCTTTAAAAAAAAATAAAAAAATAAAAGTTAGAGAAATGATTACACTAAGAAAAAAAAAAAGCGCAGATTGGCAAAGATGGGCAAATAATGTTGCGTGGTAAAGGCATTCCCAGGGGACTGTAGGAGCTTTCAGCCTGGGGTGGGCGGTGTCCCTAGGACGAGGAGACGCTGCCCAGACTGAAGGGCTGTGTAGAAACCGTCCAAAAAGGCGGTGCCAGGGTTGCCTAGGCCCAGCTGGACTCGAGGTGGCGGGCAAGTACCGTGGATGACAAAAAGTGATCCAATCCCCACAGCTCTCCCACAACACCCCTTCCCTAACAGCGGGCAAAAGGCAGACTGATGCTGGCGTCAGGAACAACACTACCATTTATGGGGTGCTGTGTCAAAAGGCATCGCCCAGCCCTCCAGAAAATAATGAGCTCATTCACTCCGTCACTTATTAATCAAGTTTTATGTCCAAAAAAGAAAGGGGCGGTAGGGTAGGGTGACATTCTTTCCACGACGGTCCTTCCTTACTGTCTTTTATATTTCAATGAGGAAGAAGCATAAATAAAGGAAGCCGAATGGTCTGCGAGGATGACAATCTCCGCTCTCCCACCACGCCCCGAGGTCTGTTTCTTTAGAACCCGGAGCCTCACCCGCTGGAGAATCGGCAGAGGGAGCGGGCTCGGGAAGTAGATACCCGCTGAGATCGCTGGAGGCTGCGCCTCCGGGTGTTTCTGTCTCTTTAAGGGGGCGGGGTTATAACGGAGGAGGCGGGAAAGTTCCGCCCCCGGATATTCTGCTTCCGGCAACCGGGAAGGACCGGAACCAACGCAGAGCCTCTGTGGCCGGATCTTTACCCCGACCGACCAGACGCCAAAGCCCCGAGGTGAGGCGGCGGAGTCTGCGGGGCCGACCTGGGGCTGAGGGGGCACGGGATCTCCTGCCCGTCGGGCCGCCGCGGCCCAGCTCCTCCCTAAAACGCTGCTTCTGCTTTCGGGCAGCTTTTACCCAGACCAGCTGGGGCTCAGGGTGCCCCCCGGCTGCAGAATCTCCAGCACTCCCGCGCCCACTAATTGCTTGGCTGTACACTAAGCGCCTTACACTCACTGTCTCATCTAATGGCCCACAACACCGTGTGAGTAGGTACCATTATGAACCCATTTTACAGATGAGGAAACTGAGGCCCCGAGGAGCCCACAGGCATACAGCGAGAAGCGGCAGAATCGGGAATCAAACCCAGGTCTGTCTGAGCCCAGAGCCTGTGTCCTTAACCACTGGCGAGGCTGCCGATCATTGTCCTCATCGCTGCCTCTCAAAGCCCAGCTTTCCTATCCTCATCCTTTCATCTCCAGGCTGCCCCCTGGTCCTTAACACTCTCAGAGTGAGTGAGATTGGACTTCCCCAGGGCTGGCTTTTTCTTTTTAGTTAAATAATGTTTTTAATATTTCATGCTAAATGGTTATCTTTCCATAAATTTATCAAGCCCCACTAAAAACGGGGAAGCAATACTATTTCTAATGTTCAAATAAGATTTGCTTGCAGACACTATCCTGCTATCCTATTAAGTTGACTTATTTTTCCCTTTTAGACTTCTGCAAATTTTCTTCCTAAAAATTGGGAGAAGACCCACTGGCTGAATGGCAACTGTAGATGACTTGCAGTTTGAAGGTACATCAGTTGGATACCCACCTTTGTCTTTACGATGAATATTTCTATAGTCACAACAACAGATCTGTGTTGCTATGTTGTTACATATTTTTAAAAAGTTTATTTTAAACATCTTGGTAAAAGAATGTTGCTCACCCAGATTTTTCTGTTTGTCTATACCAGCTTTTTTTTTTCTTTTTCTTTGTTTTGCTCAGTAACCCTGCAGATTGATAACATAAACTTAGTGATTCCCAAAAATGTGCTTAGAGTGCCTGGTAGCAACATTTACTGAGCGTGTACTTGTGCTTAGTACTGAATTAACTACAGGAGATAAAGGATAAGGGAGAGGTTTTTACACTAAAGCAGATCAAATTATTAAAAGATAATTATTATGAAATGTGATCTGGTATTTTTGAAACAATAAGTATATGATGAGTGGGGCCATGAACCAAGCAAGCTATTATTCTGGTTATTAGGACGTGCACAAAGTAGTTTCTTCCCTTATGAAATTTTCAAGTCTTGTGAGGGAGATATTCATTTGCTAAATAATCATTTAAATATGTATCTGCAAACTGTGAAAGAGCTGGAGGAAAAGTTCACTACTCATAACTCACAGCCTGAGATTCACAAGTGCTATTTGCCTTGTGACACCTTAGACACTGTTCTAAGTCTTCACCAATATTAACTCATTTAATCTTCATGTCAACTTTATGAAATAACTACTTTATTCTCCTTGTTCTCCCCATAAGGAAACTGAGCCACAGAAAAATGAAGTAATTTGCTGAAAAGTCACGTAGTTAGCAAGTAGTAAACCAGGGCATGAACTCAGGGAGTCTGGCTTCACAGCCTATGCTCTTTCACTACTCTCTGAGGAAGAGAGGATGTTTAATGAGAAACCCCGTCAGTAGCAAATACTGACTACTAATACATTCAACCCCTGGCCACTTCTCTCCAACTCTACCAAGCTTCAGGTCACCATCACCTCTTGGCTGAATTATAGCCTTCATCTTTCTTCTGGTCCTCCTGCTTCCTCCCAGCACCCTCCTCTTTCCACCATAGCGACCCTTTAAAGCACCAAATGAAGTCATTCTTTCAGCACCTTCCAGTGCTCTTCTCACTAGGCGTGAAAGCCAGGGCCATTTCTGTGCTTGGGAGAGGCTACACGATGCAGCAGCCCTCCACTGCCTCTGTTTCGTCTCCTGCTACTCTTGTTCTTTCTCTCTACCTTGCCTGCAGAGGCCTAGTCACTGTCCCCTCTAGACACCAAGTGCATTCACAGCATGTGGCTTTTGTGCCATCTTTCTGTTTGGATGTGTTCCAGATAGTCCCGTGACTTGCTCTCACTCTGCTTATGGAGAGACCTGCCTTGGCCGTCTTATCTGAACACAATGTGAGAAAGTTCAAGTGGAGAGAACAGCATGTGCAAAGTACCTGGGGAGGAAGGATATTTATTTTGTTTTTTTCTCCCAAGTAATTGAAATTAAATGTCCCAGAGCACAGATGATGGGAAAGGCTAGCACAAGGTGAGGTTTGAGAGGAGACAGGAACCAAATCAGGCTCCTGTCTGCTAAGTCATTTGATGGTCTTTGCTCTTTAGAAAATAGTGCAGGATGCTGTTGGGATAGTGGAAGGTTTGCCCCAGGAAGAATGGTAGTGTTCCGTGTAAGAAAGAACATCAGTACTTTCAAATGGAAGGAATTGTATTGATAAAGGAACAGAGGCAAAACAGGATGTAGAAAACCTTATGACAAAAGGAAGAAACACGCCAATCTTGCCCTCAAGTTGCAGAGAGGGGCAAGAATAACTGACAACACAGTCTGGGCAGTCATCTTGTGGGAGCTAACACATCCTACACTCGGATCAAGCTATGCCATTTGCTGTTCCTCAAACGTGGGACACAGGCCCTGTCTTCTGGGTCTTACTCATCCCTTTCTCTGCATGCAGTGCTTGCCACTGCTTTGACTGCCCTTCTGTGGCATCCTCTTCATGAAGCCTTTCGTAGTCTCATCTAGATGTGTTACATCCTTCATGGAACCTCTTAGGCCTTTGGTGCTGTCTTTCCCCCTCTTAGCTTGCCTTTCCTTCAGGTAGACTCCTGTGTTTTCAATCCGATTCTTAAGTATATCTTCCTTAGAGTCCTTCAGGCAAAGTTGTGCCCATTTTTTTAAATGCCCTTACCCTGTCCTGTCCAGCCAATAAATGATAGTAATGTCATTGTAGCTATCTGTTATTATCTCATATCCTTAGCATTTCTTTGCAAGATATTATCTACATTTTGTAGTTGAAACATACTGAGATAAGGAGTAATTTGTTTAAGGTCACCAAGTGTCAGAGCCTTAGCTTATCAAACAACTATCTCATTCCAGAGCGTCTGCTCCTTCAGCAGTTTAAACACTGGAGACTGAGGTTTGAGTAATTGCTACATAGCAGCCACCTAATTAATTTCAGTCTCCTTAATTCTCTCTAAAAAGCTGTCTCCAAAGCTGATGGCTCAGTGGCCCAAGAGCCCTGTCCTGCAAATTGCAGGAGTATAGTGTGATTATGATGCCTTTCTTTAGTCTTCCTAAGTTCAGAGATGCCCTGCATTTTATTTTAGGGCAGCCAAGTAAAGTCTGTCAGGCTACCCAGTGACAGGAAGTCTCATCATTGCTGGTGGACATGAGTAAGTGAAGTTCTTTGAGGAAGTGATTTAGTAATATTGCTCAAAAGCTTTAAAAATGGTTTACACTCTTAGACTTAGTGATCATACTAATAGCTGTCCATCTTAAGGCAGTAATTCAAAAAGCTTCCCACAGACTCTTTCCACAGTATTTGTAATAAGGCAAGTTAAAATCACCCCAAATATGCAAAAACATTGGAAAAATTGTGTAACTTAAGATACTGCTCCTCTGCTTTCCAGAAAATGGGATATTTATGTAGTTATTTAAGTGCAAAACACATATGTGGAAAATCATTTTTGTATAATCCCGAGTAGGCATTGTCCATATAATATTATCATAACCCAAATCAATTTTTGGTACATAATAGGCATGTAGTAAATACTTGTTGCATGAATGAATGGCCATTGCTGACATGAATCTTAACCATATAGAGAAAAGGAAATATACCGGATATTAATGGTGTTTGCCTTTATTGGTAGAACTAAGAATGGTTTTCATTCTATAGTTTCTACTTTTATTCCTATACTTTCTATGGGTATTTCATAGGACTTACTGGAAAAAAATAACCTCCATTAAAATTCTTTGAGTTTGAGGACCCTCCCTGGTGGCTCAGCAGGTTAAAGCGTAGCACTAACAAGCTAAAGCACTTCAGCATGAGTTCGATCCCCTCCCCAGAGGTGACCCACATGGTGCAGCAGACTTCTGACCTGCCTGCTGCTCCCCTCAGCAGTGTACTTCGTCAGTCTGCCTATTCTGCGCCCCACTCTGTCTCTGGTGAATCCTCTCACTGCCCCTGCACCTCTGGCCTGTACCCCGGTTCTGTATACATAAATAAATAAATCTTTTTTAAATTATTTGAGTTTAAATCAAAGAATAGAGATTTAGAGTGGGTACTTGCTGTGAGCCAGATACTCTGGTAAGGTCTTAGTTGATATTCCTAACTTTTCAGAAATTCTTTAAAATAAATATTCTCCCTAATGCGTAGATGAGAACAATGAAGTTTATAGAAGTCAGGCTTGTATAGTTAGTAAGAAGCTGAGCCAGGACTAAAATCCATATCTGACTTCAAATTCTGTACTTCGGTAATCATTTTTCTAAGTCAACTTGATTTCAAGATGAGATTATTTTTCGAGCATTTTGCCATTTACATGTAAGTGCTTAGCAGTTCCAGTGTGGGCAATATACCTAATGCCCTTTGCTGTAATCAATTTCAGAGTTTGGTGATGCGGCTACTTCTTTAGTAGCAAACCCTGATGCCACCACAATCAGCATTGAGGATCCTGGCGAAACCCCAGGGTCTGCAAGAAGCTCAGGGAGAGAAGAGGATGATGAGTTGCTGGGAAATGATGACTCTGACAAAACTGAGGTTTGGACGTGTCTTGAAACAGTTCTTTTTTTCTTCTAATTTCAAAAGCCAAAAACTTGTTCATATACTCACTCATTGTCTCCTACATAACCAACTAAACTGCCAAGTAGTGGCAACATAAAAACTCACCTGTGGTCTCTGCATTTGGGGGATGTAAGGGAAAACACCTTGGGAAGCACACCAGTTGGGGGCAACCAAGGACAGAGGGGGCTTATGGAAGACTTCTGGAGGTACTAATACTAAGATGCTCCAAAAGTATAGGCAGTAGCCAGAGGAAGAAAGTGAAGGATGGTTGAGACAAAGGGAAGTGCTTACTTTTGGCATAGTTGCAGAGCCGTGAAGGAAAATGTTACAGATAGCCTGTTTCATCTTCATGAGCATGATAGCAAAATATTGGTGAAGCCAGGAGGTGAGGCTACATGGATAGGCAAGGACTCAACCCAATAAGTATGAATTGTCTTGTGAAAACTTTTGGAAGCTAGTGAAAGATTTTTACATAATGTGGTCAGATATGTTTAAAGATATTTAAGATAATGGTGATCATGGGAAGTATAAATTGGAGGGATTCAGACTGGAGGCCAGACGACCAAGTAGGAGACTGTTGAAGTGGTCTAGGTTAGAGATGATGAAGCCTGAACTAGAGTTGGGTAGAGGTGTTTAGGGCATTAGCTCAGTAGCCGTCTAAGTTTCTGGATGGTAAATGTCAGGTAGCTGTTTTTGATCACAAATTTATTCCATGTTTCGACAAATAGTATTTCTAGTTATGTTTTATAAATGGCTTTATGATTATAATAAACTGGATGATAGATGAGTACTCAGGTTATAGTTCTGGGTTCACAGGCTCATTAAAATAGTTCAGCTTAGCCCCGCCCTGGTGGTGCAGCGGGTTAAAGCACAGCATTAAGAAGTTAAATCCACTTCAGCATGAGTTCGATCCCCGGCCAGGGAGCTAATCCACTTATGGTGCAGCAGACTCTCCTGTCTCACCCACTGCCTCCTTAGCAGTGTAGGTCAGTCAGTCACCTCTTTTGCTCCCAACTCTCTCTGGTGAATCCTCTCATCCCCTACACTTTGGCCTGTACTCCAGTTCTTCTGTGCAAAAAGTAAATAAAAGTTTAGGAAGAAATGCATGAAAAATATTACATTATTATCTTAATGTTATCTGTGAGTTGGGAAGAGGTTGCAGAATTCCTGAACCTAGCTTATGAAACATTGGTCTCTGTAGTTTAACATTTTGTAATATCAATTTCCTGTTCCAACTTTCCTTCCAAGATATCAGTGCTCTCTGTGGGATGTCAGAAAGAGAGCACTTGAATACACCCAGGTGTGAGCTGTTCACAGTCTTGTCAAGCAGCTGCTGCCACTATTGGACAGCTTTTAATTATGAAAATGTTTCCTTTATAATAAACAGAAGGGTTTGCCGATAGCCCTTGCTCTGCAGTCTCACATACCTTTTGCTGCATGAATGCTCTCCCTGTATCAAAAGACGGCAGTCATGACTCCTGCACAGGCTGGCTCTGCCTTCAGGTGCCTGTGCTTTGAGACTGGCGTTGCTTTTTCCCTGTGTCTGCAAAATTGGAATTTTGTATTTTTGTCAGTAGATTTTAAGTTTTTGCTTCTTTAAAAAGAATTGGTTATCAGGGCTCTTCCTGGTGGAGAGCAGGTTAAAGCACAGCACACAGAAGCTAAAGCCACTTCAGCATGAGTTCAATCCCTGCACCAGAGGTGACCCACATGGTACAGCAGACCTCTCCTGACCCGCCCACTGCTCCCCTCAGCAGTGTTTTTGAGTCCATCTGCCTGTTCTGTTCCCCACTCTGTCTCTGGTGAATCCTCTCCCCGCACATGTCTGGCCTGTACCCAAGCTCTGTAAGCATAAATAAATAAATATTTTTTTAAAAAAGAATTGGTTATCATATTTTTGAGAATTCAGGTGGTAATAGTGGTAAGGAGCTTAAGGGGGTATGAAGAGAAAATATACACTGACTGCTTTCTTTGTGTATATTTTTCTGCATATATATGTGTACATGTTACTGTACATGAAACATAGAAACATTTAATCTAATTCTTCCTATTATCCTGTGAGGTAGCTCTTTTTAGCTATACTTTAAAAAGAGAATTTAGGCTGTGTCTGGTGATTTGTCACAGCCACCCCCTGGGAGGGATTTGAAACTTTGATTTGACGTCCTGATGGTTGTTTTATATCTGGGTGATCTGGGTGTGGCAATTGTCAAGTCAGCTGATGACTACAAAGGAGCTTGTTCTTTTTGACATCCTGGTTTCCCTTAGATCATCTCCCCCTCTCTCTGAGTAGCTAGAATAAAGAAATTACTTTGGTGTTCATTATGTTTTATTTTATCTCTGATAGTTGCTGGCTGGACAGAAGAAAAGCTCCCCCTTCTGGACGTTTGAATACTATCAGACATTCTTTGATGTAGACACTTACCAGGTTTGTAAGCCAACTTCATCTTTTCTTTTACACATAGTGGAGACTTGTGGCTCAGTGATCAAATCATGTGAAACCCTTGGTAGACTGGACATGGTCTTCCAGAAGCAGAGGGTTATTAGCCTTTGAAAATATTATCATCATAAAAACTCTGATTTAACTTGAGTTTTAATTTTGCAGTAGTTAAATTTATTAAACTGAAAAAAAAAATCTTTAATAGAATCATTGCTCTGTTGTTTTCCAGGTTTTTGACAGAATAAAAGGGTCACTTTTGCCAATACCTGGAAAAAACTTTGTGAGGTTGTATATCCGAAGCAATCCAGATCTCTATGGTAAGTGTGGTGCCATTTTGATTCTTTACCATGAACCAGTTGAACTCAGGTGAGTGTGACGGTTGCCCGGAAAGTTGATGAGGGCACTATTGGCAGGGCAGGCCACATTTTATTCGATTCCTTGGAGCTTCATTAGCAGTCCTTGCAAAGAATTTTAAAGAAAATGCACTTGTGTTATATCAATGCATAATTGCAAGGTATGGTATGTTTTTTGAAAGTCCTAAAATAATATTACAAACGAGACAAATTAAGTCATTTTGATTTTAATTTGAAAGGGGGGGGTGTGTGTGTTGAGTGTGGAGAGGTTGTTCTCATGCTTCCACTTCATGACCTGAGTTCCAGCTCTGCCCTCAGACGAGCTGCTTCTCTTGGGTTGGGTTACAGTCAGCAGCACAAAATCTGTAGGAGGAATGGACCAGGGATCACTGTCATCCCTAGCCTTCCTTCTAGCTAAGAAAAGGTTATCACTGCACTTAGGGTCCTGAGGCTAGGATACCAACAGCAGTGACTGTCTGAGGAGTGAAGAGAGCCAGTGGCTCTGAGAGCTTGCTGTGTGCAGGTGCTCCGTGAAAGGCTGTAATGGTCACTTCTGGTTCTGGCAGCAACCTTCAGTGTAGGTGTTTTCGTCCCTCCTTTCACACAAAGAGGTGGTCTCTCAGAGCTCAGTAATCTGCATGCTCAGTCCTAAGTATTAGAGAGCTTGTCTATGTTGGGGAGTAAGAGAGGGGAATAAAAAAAAAAAAAAGAGGGGAATAAAAGAATCTATGAGAATCCACTGTGTATCTGTCATTTATACACTATTTTACATATTAAGTATAAAATAAAGATACTTAGTAAGTGCTGTTGTGTCTGTTTTCCGCATGAGGTGGCAAGCTGAGTGAGAGCTACCAAACTAAAAAAGGAGAACTAAAACCTAGTTTAGTGTTAAACAGAGCCCATGTTTATTCTATGAAGACTGGTGACTTTAAGCTACAGAAACATGGAATGGATGGCACTAAAAGTGGGGCTGTGGTGATGGAGACTGAGAGAAAGTGCCCATTCTTTATGACAGAGAGGAGCCGGATGCCCAGGGACTCCTGGAGCTGCTGTGAGTGTGATGTGAAGAGTGTTGCCTTGGCTCGAGCCCCTCATCTGAAGGCTGCTGTGGTGTTCCATTCTTCCTTTTAACCTGGGGGCTTCTTGAGAGGCGGGCTCTGTGTCTGAGTAATCCACCTCATCAGTGCCTGGCGGGGGCCTCGGTAACAGAGCCTTAGTGCTAGAGATGGAGGATTCAAAGGTAAAGTAATAGTCTCCATTCGCAAGGAAGGAGAGGGAGTTAGCATTTGCTGACAAGTGCACACCTGGAGTCAACACTGTTGTACTATTTTGTGCTAAGATATTCTGTTTTTCACAATGCAAATTAGCCTAACTTTCCAAAAAAGAAAATTGAAATTTAGGGAGGGTGACTGGCCATGGACACAGAAGTTAGTAATAATCACAGTAGCAAGCACAGACAGTGCTTATTATGTGCCACTGTTATTAGGCAAGAACCTGACTTACTCATTTGTCCTCATAACAATCTTAACTTTATGAGGTTGGTATTATTATTATCTCCATTGTAGAGATGAGGACCCTGGGTCACACGGAGGTCAAGTACCTTGCCTAATATCATATAGCTAGTGGGTGGCTGAGCTCAGTTTCAAAGCAACACTCTCTCTGTAATAATCCATTTCTTCTTCACAGTTATACTGCTTTTCATGAATAAAGTAGAATTTGAACCCAAACCTTGCTTCTTTCTACAACATTGTTACCTTCTTGAGCTCATAGACATGGTCTTTGAGGTACTATATAGGTAGAACGTTTTATAATAGACAACACTGGACCTGTGGGTTGAAGGAAGGTGGGTTGAAGGAAGGTGACAATAATGCCAGTCTGCAGAATCTGAAGAAGAAATCAACAAGTTAGACTAAGGAAAAAGCATCTGAAGCAGGGAGCTCAGCAAGTGCAAAGGCACTGAGGCAGGATCTTGCCTCAGGGTGCTCAAAAAATAGGAAAGAGGGTACTTCAGAAATGATGACAGGGGCCTCCCTGGTTGTGAAGTGGTCCACAGCCACTGCAGCATGAATTAAATCTTCAGACCCACATGGCGCAGCAGACCTCTCCTGTCTCGCCCGCTGCTCCCCTCAGCAGTGTATTCCATACATCTGCTTGACCTACTCCCTGCTCTGTCTCTGGTGAATCCTCTCATTTCCATCCCTCCTCCCACCTCTGGCCTGCACCCCAGCTCTTGTATGCATAAATAAATAAAATAAATCTTAAAAAAAAAAAAAAGACAGTCTACAATAGTCTCTGCTTTCTAGGAATGGGTACTGTGTAATATTTTGATCACTTGTGATCATGTGCTTGGATGGTCTGAGCTCATTCACACCACGTGGTCTGTTAGCATTCATTCAATAAAACTTTGGGGAATGTTTTGTTGTAGTTTGTTTCTTGCTTCTTGTTTTTAGCTAGGTTGTTTTCTGCATCTTTATGTAGTGGGCACTCAGAATAATATGGAGTGAAGAATGTAGTCCTTGAGTATAGTGGAGAGCTTGCAAGGCAGTGAGTAAGCAGCAGTTTTTGGAAAGCCCATGTCGGCGCCTCTTTGGAGCATCCCAGTCAGTTCTTTCCCACTGTCAGTAACCAGCTTGACTTTGAAAAGCACTAATCTGCTTCTGTTAGTCATCTCCCCTACCACAATAATTTCCTTGACATGTAAAGGTGCATGCAAGTACCCAAAGATAATACAAAATACCAGTGAAATTGAAAACAGAGAATCATAAAGCTTATTGAAGTCTCACAATTTAACAATTGTATTTGTTCCACAAAGTAATTTTTCTAAATGATGAAAAAGATAGTGTTCATGAAATTAAAAAAAAAACAATAAAAGGCATCTGCAGAGTATCTTGGTGTACATATCCAATCAGTGGAATATTTTACAATTACTAAAAGAAAATAATATTATAATAAAAATAGTATTTTTGTGAATAACTATGGTAAAATATCCAGGATATGTTACAGTGAAATATATTTAAGTGGCTATATATTTGTTACTGTTTTTATAAAACATGTACACATATATGCACAAACATGCATTTGCTTATAGATGTGTGGAAATCTCTGGCAAGATTCACCAGAAACTGGTTGTGAGGAGATCTAGGGAGGGGACATGCACAGCTAGAAAACAGAAGGAAGGTTGTTCACTTTTTTCTATACTCCCTTTTGTACCTTTTGAACACTGAACTACCTGTGTGTCTTATTTTTTCATTGAAAGAAATAAAGCCTTAAACACACACACATTATGGTTAAGGGCTAGATTAACTCTTCTCTGAGGAATCGTGCTTGTTCTGTTCTTCCAGTGAGCCCCCCCAGAAGTTTTTTCAATTATTTTTCTGTGGCAGTAACACTTGGCACTTAAGGTAAGCCTAGTTTTCTGTATCCTGGTGATGAAGTCCATGAACTTTTTTTGGTGATCCTCCAAATAATAAATGCTGTAACAAATTAGTGTCTTTACCCACCTAATTATGGAGATGTTTTGCCTTTGCATTCCAATTCCTGCTGTATTCAGGCAACTAATTACTTAGTTAGATGTTTGATCTTTTAGAAAAAGGAAATCTCCTGAAGTGAGTATTGATTACATTTAAAATTCTTTGTTTCCCCCCTTTGTTTCTATGACTAGGGCGAGGAAGGAGATTGTTCTGTAAGAGTCTAAAAGTTGGTGCTTCATTTTCTTGTCTCTGAATTGTCTGTTCTCCCTTCCAGGCCCTTTTTGGATATGTGCCACATTGGTGTTTGCCATCGCAATTAGTGGGAATCTTTCTAACTTTTTAATCCATCTGGGAGAGAAGACATACCATTATGTGCCTGAATTCCGAAAAGGTTGGTGAATAAGTTGCCTTATTTGGAATGCTGTCAGTTTTTTTTTTTTTTAAAGATTTATTTATTTATGCATACAGAACTGGGGTACAGGCCAGAGGTACAGGAGCAGTGAGAGGCTTCACCAGAGACAGAGTGGGGAGCAGAGCAGGCATATCAACAAAGTACACTGCTGAGGGGAGCAGCAGGTGGGTCAGGAGAGGTCTGCCACGCCATGTGGATCACCTCTGGGGCTGGGATCAGACTGGCACTGAAGCAGCTGTGGCTCACTGCAGTGCTGCATCCTCACCCGCTGCCTCACCAGGGAGAGCCCTGATGTCAGTTTTTAACCCCTAGTTCTTTGTACCCACTGAACTCCTGACCCCTATCTGTAAGTGCTATAGCTCCTGCTTTTTACATATATAGCTAAGGGTTGAACATACCTACTGGCTCAGAATTTACCTTTCCTTTATATAAATCTGCATAACTTTTTCATTGTGGTAAGGTAAACAAAAACATTTATTGTGTTAGCGATTTCAAAGTGTATAAATCAGTGGCATTAAGTACATTCATAGTATTGTGAACCTAGATAGTTTTCTGGAAACCTGTAAGGCCAATAGCAATTGGAATTTATCCAAACAAAAATGTATAAAACAAGTAAAGAGCAGTGTGCCTCTGATTCTCCATTGTAGCATTATTTGTATCACTCAAACGTGGGAAACAGTAGGGGCATTGTTATTTAAGTTGTGATGACTCAAATAACTGGGTCTGTAGCCACTAATTAGGAAGTACTTAGAGCAACATGGAAAACTGATCCTAGACACTTAGGCCTGTGCTGTTAGCAACTTTGTAAGAGAAGTCTGCAAATGATCAGGGCTTAGAAGGGAACACAGGAATGAATGTGCCCTGCTGGCTGGCTTGTGGGTGATCTTGTTTTAAAACTTCCTTTCTTGTGGCAGTATTGGATAATTAAAGGGAAAAAATAGATTTGAGGGAGGTACTTCTGACAGCTGCCCCCAAATGAGGAAGTTTGGCTTCGAAGGAGACTGTCTTGTGCCATGTTCTCAGTTGTCTCGTGTCCCTGCCTGCCTGCTCTTCTGCTAAGGGGTTATATAGACACGGGTAAAAGCTCAGGCTCTGGAATGAGGCCATGGGCTTCACGATCCTGCTGCACTACCTGCTAGCTTCTACCTTGTTGGACCAGTTATTTTACCTCTGTTTGCCTCAGATGCCTCATCAGTGAAATGGGACTAGCAAGACCCATGTTAGGGCCCTCCCTCATGGTGCAGTGGGTTAAACTGCAGCACTGTGAAGCTATGGTAGCCACTGCAGCATGAGTTCAGTTCCCTGCCAGGGAGGTGACCTACGTGGTGTGGCAGACCTCTCCTGACCCGCCTGCTGCACCTCTCAGGAGTGTATTTCAGTTATTCATCCTGTTCCCCACTTTGTCTTTGGTAAATCCTCTCCCCCCAAAACCTCTGGCCTGTACCCCAGGTCTGTATACATAAATAAATAAATCTTTAAAAAAAACAAGACCCATGTTATAGGATTGTTGTAAGAATAATGACATACATAGAGGTTAGAATAGTAGCTTTGGATCAGAAAGAGAGTTTAATAAATATTATCTTGTTATTTGTACATCTCTTCATATGCTGTACATAGAAGGAGATGTATTCACCTGTTTGTGTGTTTCTATATAACCTTCCTTCTTTTCCTGTCCTTACCCTCCATGCCCATTTCCCTTCTTTCCTTCTCCATCGTAAAGTCAGACTTGGATTCTATTCCAAGTTCATTTATCAAATGACCTGGGGTTGAATTTAACTCAGTAAATATTATCAGTGAGGTACAGATCCTACCTTCAAGTAGTTTCATGCTAAAGTAAGGAAGGACAGGCACATGAATGTTGCTGTATATAGAATATGTGATTTCCTATATCAGAAATGTCTGTATCTATGTATACAAAGATAGGTATGTCCAGGAGAAGGAACAAATCGTCTTACCAAGGGTCTGGAAGCTCAGACATGCCTGTATCTGTTATTATCTTCTGGCTGGGTGTCTCAGTATTGGGAGGAATGGGATGTGTGGACTAGTGAGAGTCTTTGGCCCAGTCAATACACATTTTTCTGTTTTATGTCTGAGTTACATTCCAGAGTCCAAGCATGTCCCCACTATTTATTAATAATTTGACCTTGATCAAACCACTTAACTTCTCTGGTCTTGTTTTCTCATCTCTGAAATGAAGATACAGATAGATGAAATACTGTATTTACACATCCATTACTAATATAAAAAGTAAATTCTTGAGTGAGCATTTATTATTCAGCAATCAGTATTCTAACTACACCAGTTTTTACTTTAGTTCTCTAGTAATCATAGAAGGCAGTGTACTATTAGTTTTCCTGGCTTACAGATGTGCCAAAAAGGTTACTTAGCTACGTGACAGAGCTAGGATCAGAACCACAGAGCCTGCACTTCTGATTCTTCACAGCTTACCTCTCAGTAAAGCACTCAGTGTAATGCCTCATACCCAGGGATAGCTGTATAATAGTAGGGCCCTTCCCCTTTCTTAGTTACCCAAGAAAAAGGCACTGTGCCAGCATGAGGACATTTGGCTTAATGAGTAAGCTCCCAATAGGAAAAACTGCTTTGGGAGTTAGAAGTGTCTTGGACAGTCACATATGCAGAGTCTCCTGTACCTTTGCCTTTGCCAAGAGTGTTAAGTGAATTATCTGCAGATTTATGTACAAGGAGGGCTGGTGCCATGGGCTTAGCCATGCTGTTATGATCCCCTTTTCCAGAAGAGGGAAAATGAATCCTCTAGGGTGGAGGGGGAGGGAAGTTCAATAATGAGCTAGACATTGCTGTTCTGAGCAGCCACAAAATAGCATTTCCACAACAGGGACAAAATTGTTTAAAGAAGAAAGTGAAACTAGAGAATATTTTAAGCAGTTCATCAATGAGCTAGAATTTCAGAAACAGAAGAAACTCTAAATAGCATACAGAGCAAGTTAATCTGTATCCAGGGCATTTAAATAAATTTGCTAGAGAAATCAATGTCAGCTTTTGTTATAGTAGGACAGAGGACATGTTCTTCCAAGGGGTAGTGGCTTTCATTTGATTGAAATGCTCAGTGTGTTTTTGTTTTGTTTTTAAAGATTTATTTATTTATGCATACAGAACTGGGGTACAGACCAGAGGTGTGGTGGGTAAGGGGATTCACCAGAATCAGAGTGGGAAACAGAACAGGCAGATTGACGAAGAACACTGCTGAGGGGAGCAGCGGGCAGGTCAGGAAAGGTCTGCCATGCCATATGGGTCAGCTCCCTGGCTGGGATCAAACTCATGCTGCAGTGGCTGTGGAAACCTTCATTATGCGGTGCTTTAACCCGCTGCGCCACCAAGGAGAGCCCGAAACGCTCAGTGTGTTTAAACACTTGTAGTGTATCCCTCTGAAGTATTTCAGTTGTTGAGTAGTACTGTAATTCGCTAGACCGTATGAAAGACAGTTGGTCATCACCACAAAAGCATGTGCCGAAGGCTCATTTTAGCCCTTTCATAGGGCAGCTACTGTGTGTCAGGTATGTGCCTGTGGATAATCAGGGCCTGTGAAGGCCAGTCAGACAGGATCCCGTGGTCTGATGGAGTGGGTGTCAGCATGTGCTAGGAAGTAAGTCAAGTGAGGCATTAGAAATGCTCCGAGAAAATTTGAAGCTGTGGTGGGGATTAAAACTTGTGTCCATTCACCCCCAGTGTCCATAGCAGCCACTGTCATCTATGCCTATGCCTGGCTGGTTCCTCTTGCGCTCTGGGGTTTCCTCATGTGGAGAAACAGCAAAGTGATGAACATTGTTTCCTACTCGTTTCTGGAGATTGTGTGTGTCTATGGATATTCACTCTTCATTTATATCCCTACAGCAGTAAGTACACTTACTCTGAGCGATACCTTGTTCTTGATTGGAAATTCAGCCAGCATTATCATGTCTAGCCTAAGCACTTGAAAAATACCCTTTGCTTGTAGAAGTTCAGCATGAATGGAGGCTGGGGAGCCAAGTGCCTGCACTGGGTCTCCAGCTCTTCCTTCTGTGCTTTCTCCTCTCTGCTTGCTGGTGGTGTTTCTCCAGGCTGAACTGAAAAACTGCAATGGCGGTGGGGGCCTGGCTGCTGGTTGGCTCTGGGGCTTTTATAAACATGTTTGCCTGGAATGAACAAATGCCCCTCTGAATGCCTCCCCAAAAATCTCTCCCCTCTCTTTTTTTCTTTCAGATACTGTGGATTATCCCCCAGAGAGCTGTTCGTTGGATTCTAGTCATGATTGCCCTGGGCATCTCGGGCTCTGTGTTGGCAATGACATTTTGGCCAGCTGTTCGAGAGGATAACCGGCGCATCGCGTTGACCACAATTGTGACGATCGTGTTGCTTCACATGCTGCTTTCTGTGGGCTGCTTGGTATAGTCTCATTCCTGCATTCATTTGGTAGTGCTTTTGATGCAAATGCTTCAAAACTGTTAGACACGATGGTTCTTTTAAAACCAGCTCCATGAAATCAGTATCATTTTCAATAGACTCTCCTAGATGAGAAGTGCTAAAGTCAAGAGAATTTGATTGCACTCTCTGGATTTACCTAATCCTGAAACGTGTCTGGCTACACCAAAGACTTGGTGTCTGGCCAGCAGAAGTGGGAGGGGACTGGGAGAAGGACGAGGGGGAATTCTACTTGTGGATGCCTTTGCTGATACTCTGCACACAAATTTAAAGTTGCACAGGTAGGAAGTTTAAGAATGAAGTCCCATAGGTATATACAGTTACTTTTAAGGTGAACAATATTTGTAATAGTTTTCAAGTTTGTGTGTTTAGGTATCTTTTAGGCAAAGCCTGTTTTTGAGTCAGACAGGTCGAGATTAAAGTCCAGATCTGTCACTCACTGGCTGTGTGAGCTTGGATCTAACCCTCTGAATCTGAATGTCTCTGTCTGTTACAGGAACTTAGCAGTTCCTGTCACAGAGAATAAAGTAACACATATAAAGCACCTGCCCTAGCACTTAGCCCCCTCAGTATCTACAAGTTAGCCTCCTCTCCTTGGGCCCCAAGGAGACAGGGTTGTGTACATGCTGTGCACAAAAACTGCTGTCTGCTGCCGTAATTAATTAGAGCCTGACATGAGTTTCAGAAAACTCATGTTTTGGTCACTGATGAAGGGAAGGACATGTCTCAGAAAGAGTCCACAGAACACATGCAGATCCTTGGTCAGGTTTGGCATTTGTAGGAGTAAGATATTTCTCTCATACCATTTGATCTTCAATATTTTTTTGTATAGATGACCGTGGTCTCCTTAAGTACATTAATGAGATATTAGTACTTTGTTATTGGTCACATCTCATCACGTGCCCAGTTCTGAAGCATAGACTTGGTTTGTATAAATTTCATGTGCATTTAAGTTTGAGTACTTGGGACAGAGGACTGAGGGTGTGATCTGAACACCCAGCAAGAGTGGCCCAAAGTTGCAGTGAGTGTATGGGTGAAAGCCTGAGCATCCCACGCTGGAGACAACGCTCGTCCTTTAGGGACAGCTCTCTCTGGTGTCTTCCCATCTGTGCCCTGAACTTCTTACCCAATACAGGCCTGGTTGAAAAATTAGGAGAGAAAAGGCCTGCCTACTCAGAGGAGCAGGCAGGTTGGGTGAAGAGCAGGGGATATTGCTGGAATGGGACCTCTTCTTGTTGGGGCTTTCTCCTTGAAGAAGGAAGCTGTCAGTGATCAGGTGATCAGGTATTTTGTCAGAGGCCCACAGTAGTTGGGGTTTTGCTGTCAAGCACCTAGCCCCTTCTGCAAGAGGACTGAAGCAGAAGTTAGGAAAGTCCCAGTTCCATCCCTCCCTGCTTCGGTTATTTTCCATTCCTGAACCCCCATTGCTTCATTTAGCAAAAGACTTATAGTAACATCTTTACTGTTGTGAGGTCAAATGATAAATGTAACGTGAAAATGTGGCAGGTCACACAAGCAGAATGCATTATTATTGGAAAAGAAGAGAGAGGAATTAGCAGGGGAGTTTTTGAGCTGAGGGATATAGACTGAACCAGACAGCTTGGCCTTCTCATTTTTCCCTGGGGAATGTGGTTTGGTGTTTTTGTTTTAGCGCAGTGAAACATGAGAGCCCAGGGTGCTTGCACCTGTACACAATCCCTAAGATGGTTGTGGAACACATTGGCAGGGACAGCTGAGTCCCTTCTTGGCTGATGTGTTTGGAGGTGTATAAGCCCATGTTTGAGGTGGTTACTGCTGGGTCCTGCTCCTTAACTATCTGCTGGGTGATATTTCCACCCCTATTTGTAGAAGCTTGCTGATTGATCCAGAGGCCCCTATGGGGCCTGTGTCTGGGATGGGCATAGGGTAAGTGCCAAATTTTATAGGATGTGTTGGAAAATAGAAGAACGTAGACTTTGGAGTGAGACACAGCTGGGTAGAAATCCTGGCTCAGACACATTGACATGACAGCCCTCAGGAACTCTCTATCACTTTGAGCCTCAGTTTACTCATCTTTAAAACAGCTAAAGTTGCCTACCACGAGAGGTTACCAAGTAGATTAAGGACGTGTCTGATGCACAGCAGACACTCAGCAAATGGCCACTGTGGTTGTTGTTATGAATAATAATGGAATTGATGAATCATGGAATGGCAGCTTGCCTGAGAGATGGTCTTTCCCAGTGCTTTCTCTTACAGAGAGATAACTGAGGCCCGTGGGGGTACAGTGACTTGTGAATTTGGTTAGAACTTCTTGGCTCCTTCTCTCCTGTGAGGGTTTGCCTGGAAGCAAGGCATTGTTCCTGCATAATAGGGACTTTTTGACTCAATGCACCTGCAAGATAACTGCAGGGAGCCAACACCAGCTGCACAGTCCCTGTCCCCCTGAAAGTCAGGGACTCTTCTTTCCCTGCTTCAGAAAACAGCTGCCTTTAGGGGATCTGGGGAGGAAGTCTTTTAAAAGCCACAAGTTGCTCTGAGCATCTGACAAACTGGAAAAAATCAGCCAAAACTCTTTGGCTTGGGCGGTTGAAGAGTTAAGGGAGTGGGACGCGTCTGAGACGCGCCAACGTGTCATGCTGGTGCCCTCTTGTGGCTGACGGAGTACAGAGCTAGTTAGAGATGGCTCTGGATAGCGTCTTTCTTTTTCCCTTCCTGAGGCCCTGGCCCTAAGGGGAAGCCTGAGTGGGCAGATCATGAACAGATTCCCTTTTCCTTTGAGCAGCCGGTGTGTGTTCATGGCTACCGAGGTTGGTGTTTTCCTGGGCTAAAGTTAGGATTCTCAGACGGTGAAACAGATGGGAAGAACCTCTTTAATGTTTTCCCTCTTCTACTATCTTCTGATTTTTGACAGTTCCATTGTAGCTGGTGAGTAGAAGCATTTATCCAACCTTTCATTTCAAAGCTGAAGAATTAGGAGGTGTAAAGTCCACCTTGCTCTTACTTTTAGAGGTCTTTACAGGGAGCTGCTGATTCCACAGCAACCTAGCATAGCTCAGTTCAATAAAGTATCGATTGTTTCCATGATATGCCAGGCCCTGTGCAAGGTGCTGGTGACACGAAGTCAGGATGGATGCAGTGGTAACCCTGGAGGAGGGACTGTACAAGAGAGTGACTAGGAGCTTGAGTTTTGGGGTCCTGAAGACCCAGCGTTGAGGCCGGCCCTGCTACTCATTAGCCATTTGTACTGATGAAATGACAGTCTCTAGGAGCCTTGGTTTCTTTGTCTGTCAAATGGAGGATAATAATAACTACCTCATTGGATTTTTCGGAAGATTAAGTCATATGTGTTAAGTTGAATGAGTGAGATAGACAGAAACAGAGATTTTAGCAGTGTGGTAGGGGGAACACAGCCCACGAAAGCCCAGAAATACTGCCAGTGTGGCGGCTAGTAGGACACTCACCCAGACCACCACTTTGTTCTCTCATGCTCTCCTTTCCTGCAGGCATACTTTTTTGATGCACCAGAGATGGACCATCTTCCAACAGCTACATTTGCTCCGAACCAAACAGTCACAGCAGCCAAGCCCAGCTAAGAGGAATGTAAGTTTGTGTTTTCACCTTCCTGCTGTGCAGTACAATGAAAAGTCTGTCGGTGCGTCAGCTCCATTACTTTTAGCATAGGAACAGAGAGGGCTAGATCTGTCATCATGTGTCATAATTTAGTTGGGGGCGGGGGCGGCGGTGAGTGCACCTGCCCATGTGTGGGCCGGTTCTTCCAAAGGCTTCAGTTGTGAAATCCACATGACTGTAATTTAGGAAATGTGAGTTCCTAGATGCTTCTATAAGAGGGGCTCCTGCTCTTTGGTCCCAGTATCCCCTCTCCTCTCCTCCCTGCCCCATCTGTACAGTGTAGTTTTGTTCAGCTTGATTAAGGTCATAGTGGTTTTTTTCTGGTTTCTCTGTGACTTCTCAGACTGGCTGCAGGTCCAGAGTGTGACCTCTCTTAAATTACTCAAGGAGTTCTCCAAAGCTCACAAATTCTCGTGCCTACTTTGTTCTGATCCTCTTTGATGATTCCACTCTCAATGCCTAGTTTAGTAGGTGAGAGTGAAGGAAAAAGACCCCATTCCTCCACGGCTTGTTTCTCACCTTATATTCCACTGCCTCAGTTTACCAAGATGGTTTACTGTGCTGGCCTTGCCATTGCCAGAACACATGGAGCCTTTGCACTTGCTTTTCTCACTGTCTGAAATGTTTTTTCCCTCCCAGCAGTCATCTTACTGCTTGCCCCATTGCAGCTTACATCCCCATTACTGGTGTTCGAAACACTGTTCTTTACCGTCGGTCCCTTTGCCTCTCCATTTGTTCACTCCTTCATTCATTTGTCCTTGGAGTGTGTCTCCCCAACCACTCAGCTCAGAAGAACAAGGAGTGGGTGTTACTCTTCATCTTCATTGCCCACCATGTGACCTGGCATACTCTGGGCACTCTGTGTATGTTTGTGGAACAAATGAAGTCACATCCTAATAATCTCCATTTAGACCAAGAACCTTCACTGTGTTTTGTAGTCACAAACTGACTTTTCTCCTCAAGCTGCTGTCTCCTTAACCAAGGCCTTTAAGAGTCAAATAACATTAAAATTAAATCCCTACCCTACTGTCTACAAGCAGTCTACCTGGGGCAAAGGCTTCATCTCTCTGATCCTTCACTAACTTAGCTATGATAAGGGTGATTCCACCCATGTTCTAAGATTGTAGTGATCATGCTTATTAAAGCTCCTGGCCATGGTTAAGATGCTCAGTAATGAAGCTGAACCTACAGCCCCCTGAGAGTGATTCAGTAATTTGAATTAAAGTCTGTCCACACCCCAGCTGTAAACCTTCCAAGAGTCAGGCGTGGCATCTGAGAAGAGCATGGACCCCAGGCCCTTGCAGCCTCCATTCCCGATTTTCACAGATTTCACACCTGTGGGCTTCGCTCAGCTCTGTAAACTTGGGTGTCAGTTCCTCTGTTTGGGTGGCGCACCTCCAAATGAGATCGTGATGAGCACTCTCTATGGAGCCTCCCTGGCAGAAGCATCAATTGCTTTGCCAATGACAGGGACTGTCCAGGGCCCTGGGCACTGCAGATTTATGTGCTGGCTACGCCTTCTCTTGTAATCGCTGGACTCCAGCTTTCAGTGAAAAAGGATAGCTTCTAATCTCGCAGAAAACCTTTTTCATGTAAGTCTGTAATTTCAGGATCAGAGGGGAACTTCCAGGGACACTTGTAACCAGGGCACTACCCCACATACACAGACTATTGAACTGTTGCAAAGAATATCTTTCATCCTTCCTTTCTTCATTCATTCCTCCTTCCTTTTTTTTTTTTTTTTAATTTTTTTTTTAAAGATTTATTTATTTATGCATACAGAACTGGGGTACAGGCCAGAGGCGCAGGGGCGGCGAGAGGCTTTCACCAGAGACAGAGTGGGGAGCAGAACAGGCAGATCAACGAAGTACACTGCTGAGAGGAGCAGCGGGCGGGTCAGAAGAGGTCTGCCACGCCATGTGGTCTTCTCCGGGGCAGGCGGGAATCAAACTCATGCGGAAGTGGCTTTAGCTTCTCAGTGCTGTGCTTTAACCCGCTGCGCCACCAGGGACGGCCCCATTCCTCCTTCCTTTTTGAAATTTAATTTATCCCATGAGGACCAGTGCTGTTTCTTCCCTGAGTCAAGACCTAGAATCTGTACCTGGGAAGTGTTACTTTGGTCTAAGGGATGGAATACCTGAAGACCACATCCTGATTGGGACTGTTTCCCCAGGGCCTGTGACAAGTGGATCTGTCCAGAGGAGGACAGCCAGGGGCGATTACACTGCAGTGTGGTGAGGGCCTTCAAGTGTGATCATTCCACCCCCCAGCACTGAGATACAGTGCTTATATGCCGGCATTCTCACTCACTCATGTCAAGAGTGTTCAGTGCACAAGCCAAAGCCACAGACCTTCTACTAGGTTTATACACATCAGTTCTTTTACTCTGAAATTAGCTTTAGTTTAATGCTGTAATCCCTTGTAACACAGCACCCAGACTATAAGATTTGGCACTACGGCTGGCACTGTTCCTGCCAGGTCCTTACTCTTATGCCATGGCTGAAATGTGCCTGCCCAGAGAATTCATTTTCAGCTCCTATGCTATTTCTTTCTCTGTTTTCTCCTAACTGTTCCCTTTCTTTGAAATAAATTGGGACAGTCTGGAATAGCAAGTGGGTCAACACGATAGCTTTTTTAAAAACTTAGTAGAAAAATTTAAATATGGATAATGTGATTTACAATATAATGAAAAGTATTATAAATCCCCATGTTTCCATCACCTGCTTTCAACAGTTGTCAGCTTGTTGCAGTGTTGTTTCCTCTAACATCCTCCTATTCCCCACGTATTTTAATTTTTTTTATTTATGTGTAAAGAACTGGGGTACAGGCCAGAGGTGCAGGAGCAGTGAAAGGATTCACCAGAGACAGTGGGGAGCAGAACAGGCAGATTGACAAGTACATTGCTGAGGGGAGCAGCGGGCGAGACAGGAGAGGTCTGCCGCGCCATGTGGGTCAGCTCTGGGGCTGGGGACGCAGCTCATGCAGAAGCAGCTGCCAGTGCTAGTAGCTTCACAGTGCTGTGCTTCAGCCCATTGCGCCAACAGAGAGGGCCCATCCACATATTATTTTGAAGTAAATCTAAGACATCCTGTTATTTCATCCGTAAATATTTTAATTCTGTGTCTACTCAAGATACTCTTTAAAACATAATCATAATATGATAACTTCGAAAAAATGGTAACTCCTTAATATCAAATATACGTCAGTGTTTGAACCCATCACAGTTGGTTGATGAATCTCTTAAATGGCTTTTAAACTATAGCTTAACACTTCCCTCTCTCTGTTTTCCTTTGCCATTTATTTGTTGAAGAATTGTTTACCCTAGAGTGTCTCACTCTGATTCTGCTGATTGTGTCTCTGTGGTATCATCTAACACATTGCTCATACATCTGCTTTCTGTAACTTGGTGATTGTAGCTAAAGGTTTGATCAGATTCAAGCATTTTAATTTTTACTTTTGTTGAGACAACTTGATATATCCAGTTAAATTCTTCAATTTATAAGCTCCTAATTTCTAGTTATCTTTCTCCTATCAGAAGCCATTAATAAAAGCAATGCCTAGCTTTGATAATTTGTTAGGGTTTTCAAAATGGTGCTATTTCATTTCAGTCTTTCCTTCTTTTGTTTATTTGATACAATACTTCTTTAATAAAAATGTTTCTTCATCTACCATTTGTTTATTCAGTTTTATCGATTACATAAGAAAAAAAGAGCAAATATTCTTGTTCTTTACCTGCTTTCAGCAGAGAAGTTTGTTCACTCACACTCTGCAGCGGGACCTTTTCTGTCCATGTAAATCCTTGCTTACAGATGCTCAGATTGTCTTATCTCTTGCCAGTGGCTGCTGAGTGCTGTTGGATAACTGTCTGTCGGTCACAACAAAATGTTCCAGGGCCATTTTTGAACACTTTCTGTCCCAGGCCCTTTCTCTAGGGACTCCTGAAAAATTTGCAGATCACAATCTGGCTGCGGGGGTGCTCACTGCCAGCAAATTCAGTCATTATTTTTAGGCCTTCTCCGTATTCAGAGCCAGGAAATACGTTTGTTGCTTGCTTGGTTAATCTCTTTTAAAGACGCGACAGTGAGAGTTCATACTCATATTTCTAATTCCTGTTTAGCACTATGGGTTTTTGTGAAATTGCTTTTCTTTTATTTCTGCTGCCTCCTTTCTCCCATACTGGGAATGTCACTTGTCACCAACACCAGCGATGATGGGACTATCACATTAGCACTTGACCCTAATGTGGGGTCTTGATCTCACATGTACCCCAACATGCTAATAATAATAGTCATAATACTAGCAGTGGTCATTGAAAAATAGTACTTAATAGTCTTTAAAAAACTTTTTTTTGAGCTCTGAAATGCCCTTGTCTGCCTTGTTTACTTAGAAACTTGTTCTTTGTTCTTTAGGGCCTACTTCAGGTACTATCTTTTGCTTAGTGAAGTTTCTGTTGCTTATGTCTCTGAATCCTCCATTTGTGTCTGTTCTCTCTGTTATGGCAATTTTCTTATTTACTATAACTCCATAACTGAGAACTTCTTGAGGGCAGAGCATTATTTGCCAATAAATATCCCACCACCCAGTAGGTACTTGAGGGAAGTTTGATTTTTAACAAGTGACAGTGGATATATATAAGAAAGTTTTGGATATACTCAAAACTTTCAGTTCTAAAACTTGCCATGCTACTTGGAGACTCTTGTTCATTTCTTCAGGTCCTACTTTTTGCAACTCTTTGCTAGGTTATTGTGGTGAACAGTCTTTTTTTTAAAGATTTTTTTATTTATGCACACAAGAACTGGGGTACAGGCCAGAGGTGGGGGTGTGAGAGGATTCACCAGAGACAGAGTGGGGAGCAGAACAGGCAAATTTCCTGAAATACACTGCTGGGAGGAGCAGTGGGCAGGTCAGGAGAGGTCTGCTGTGCCATGTGGGTCATCTCCCTGGCTGGGGATCAAACTTGTGCTACAGTGGCTGTGGCTAGCTTCATAGTGCTGTGCTTTAACCTGTTGCACCACCAGACAGGGTCCAGCCCTTCCAGATTTTTTACCCAAATTTTTATATCTGAAGCATCACACAAACTAGACGGTTCCTCTAAATTAAACAAAGAATCATGACTTCAGGAGCTTCTGGTTGGGAAACCTCAGATCAGGTGATGGTGATATTGTCTAGACTTGGCTATAAAATTGGGGCCAGGAAGGGAGCAAGTCACACTTGTGCCACAGTGGGGCCACCAGGGTGGGGAATCAGAAGTGCCCAAGTGTCAAGTTGTAGACTTAAGGGACAAGGGATTCCTGACTGATGCTGATATGATGGACCAAGTCTGTCTCAAAGGGCTGTGTCATCTTACTTGCCACCTCTGGTCTTAGTGCCAGGAATTCCTAATCTCTGTCCTACAGACCAACCCACCGCCCCCCCCCCCACACACACAAAAGTTGGCAGCAAGAGAGGAATTTTCTGTCTTTAAATACTCCTATAGTGGACATTAATTTGGTACAGTCAACTTGAAAGTTGAAACAAAAACAAAGAATCTACTTATGAAAATAAAATCTTTAGGACCTGCCCTGTGGGCTGGTTTGTCCCTACCTTTATTTAGCAGTTCAGGAACTGATGTTTACCAGAAGGCCCATCAGTACATTTAGGTTCTTTCAACTCCAGCAAATTACAGCAGTCACCCTTTTCCAACTGCTTTTCACAGATAATTTGTTGGTGCTCTTCCCCTCTCTTGAGTCAGTAGAGGCAGGCAGATAGTCCTGCCTCAGTCCCACCTTCATGGTGCTGAGATGCTGCCGGTGGGTTCTGATACTGCCCCCTCTGCGCTCTCCAGGAGGCTTCACGCACGTGAGGTGAAGGCTCCCCCCACCCTTAGGAGCCCTGCTCTGCTCCATTCCTTTATCTTTCCGGGATTTAACCATCTCTAGCCTTCCCAGCTTAAACCTTGCAAATCCCCAAGTTGGTGGACCAATCGGTGCCTCAAATTCCTTATGTTCAAAACATGCATCCTACAGCCAGATCCTTCTCAACCTCCTGTTTCAGTGAATGGCACCACCCCCCACTTCAGGTTAGGTTAGATTCATTATCAGACGCTCTCACAGTACCTTATAATCACATAAATAATGTGTTAGGTCTTTGTTTACCCTACTAGACTGTAAGTTTCTCAAGACTTGGGACCACATCGCCTTGTTCATCATTATACCCATGTCTGGTACATGACTCGTCAATCAGTATTTGTTGGGTTGATGAAGAAAGTCCCTCAGTTACCATGTTAGAAACATCTGAATCAGTGTGAATTGCTCTCTCTCATCTTCCTATCTTACCTGCCAACAAGATTTGCCCATCCTGCCTCTGAAAGTGACTCTTTTTGTTTTCCAGTTTTCTTTTTATTTTTTGGAGTGTGGTTCTTCTGCACATGGCATTCACTGCAGGCAAGCAGAATGACCAGAGCCAAGAGGAAAACTGATGGAAAGACACGAAGTCCTGGCAGCCGGATGGTGCTGTACTAAGCCTAATCGCCTGTTTAACAAACAAAAATAAAATGTTGTTCAACTCTTCTCTGCTCATCCATCAGTGACCCGCGTGCCCACACTCATGTGGGCTGAAACACAGGGCAGGGGTTTGGGCGAACTCAAGCGCCTCGTCATTTGCCCCTCACTCAAAGTAGAAGTACTTGCACAGTGCTGCACCCTGAGTACACCCTCTGGGCCTGAATGGACCCATCCCAACTTTTGATGTTTCGGAATTGTGTACACATTACCTGGGTCATGCTCTTCTCGCCCAGTGCTTGCCATCCTAAAGTGCCCTAGCAATGTGAACTTTGGAGGGGTTCATGGGGAACTTGAAAATGTGTGCTTGGCGACCTGGCACTGGGCACCGAAATCTAATGGTTGCTGATACGCAACATAGCATCTGTGTCTGCATCTCTTGACTTTGTTCCTCTTGGTGTTTTATCCTTAATATACTGGAGGCTGCTAGGGATCTGATTTAATGAACTCACTGTTGTGGTGGGGGAGGGAGGTTAAAAATGGACATTCAGACTATTTCCTCTGATACGTATGGTATAGTGCAAGTGTTCACTGGTATTACTGCAACCTGTTTTGGCACACAGATTATAGAAGATTTTTCTAGAGCACTTTGAGAACCTCCTCGAAGTGGCATGACTTCCTGACTAGAGTGCAGGAAGGGAGAAACCAGTGACATTGGAAACCTGGCTTTTTATACTTTTTATTCAAAATGCGCACCACCCCCAAGGGAGAGCTGCTAATAGGTCAGAACTGCTGACTTAGTGCTTGTTAACTTTGTCAGACAGGAGTCCCTTGTGTATCTCTGAGGCAACTACAAAGACATTTGGACTTCAAAGACAGATAAAGAAAGATGCACACACATTCGGGCTATAGTGAGCTTCAGGTCACCTGGGCAAACCTCCAATCAGATGCTGAGTCTTCGCCTACCAGCTCACCTTAAATTACTCAGTAATTATGTGTTGTGCACCTACTATGTACTGGTCACTATTCTAGAGCAGCAAACTTGTTCTTGTGGCTTTTCTAGCCTGGTGGTCACTGCTAAGTGGTTGTCTGTCTCAGGCTCTAAGGCAGATATTTCTTTCTTCAAACAGTTGTGACCCCGCAGCTTTCACTGGTTGATCCAACTGTACCCCTTGAGCCTCTCAGACAAGTCTGAGTTTTTTTCCTTTTGTTAGCTTCAGCTGTTTGAAGACACCTGTCCCATACTCCCTGAGTCATCTCCACCTAAATATTTCTCTTGTCTTCAAGGATTCTTCTGAGAACGTGGTGGTCAGACTTTTCAGGTCACCCTCTAAACTCATAGGCCTGCTCCGTGATTCCTACACACTGGAGCCTGTAAGTCCATCCGCAACCCCCTTCCTGTCTCTTACCAAGAGTGGCTGTATTTTTCTCCTGTTGAGTAGAATCACATTGTAGAATAATAAGAAATCTATTATTGGTGTCCCAGTTTTTGATACAAAGCCCCTAAAATCCATATAATCGATATCTGGTATAACATTTTGTTGTTATTCCTGGTTCCTGACAGAGCTCCCAAGACCCTTGGAACTTCCTGAGTGATAGGAATACCTCATAGAGTCCCTAAATGCCCTGGAATTTCTTTGGTGATGGAATGTCTTTTGTTTTAATAAGGTGACTTTGCGGGGCTCCTGAATGCTAATGGTCGCCAAAAAGACCAAACTATGATTACAAGCTTAAAACTTTCAGCCCTATCCTCTATCCTAGAGATTGGATAGAGAGGTCCTGGAAATGGAGTTAATAATTGATCATGACTACATGATGAAGCTTCCATAAAAATTCCAGAAGAGTGAGGTTTGGAGAACCCCTGGGTTTGTGAACGCTTGCACATGTTGGGAGTGGGCCACAGCTCCAGGAGGGACAGGAGCTTCTGCACCAGGCACTCTTCCAGTCTTCCTCCTGTGTTTATCTCTATATGGTTACTCATGTGTAGTGTTTAAAGCTTTCCCTGGGTCTTGTGAATTCTTCTAGCAAGTTATCAAACCCAAGGAGATGGTCATGGGAACCTCCAATTTATAACCAAGTCAGACAGTGTGGGTAACTTGAGAATAATATTTTGTTGTAATATTTGGTCTTGATTCCTGCCAACTTACAGTTAGCGCTTGAACTGGGGAGAAGTCTTGTGGGGCTTACTCTGTGAGGTCTGGGCTCACTCCAGGTGGTTAGTGTGTCAAAATTACTTGGGGAATAAAAAGCCAAGTGTGCTGTGGGACTGTGTGAGTGAAGAATAACTGAACTTTTCCTAGGAACATACAAATATCTATTTGGGGGAGAATTTCATTGTTACTGAGTACTTTTAAGTGTGGTCTGGTAAACTTTCCGAAAAGTATTTTTTAGAATCTATAATAAAGTGGTCAGGATTTAATTTTTAAATAAGGATATCAGATGATCCATTATTATAAATTAGCAACATAATCTTATAAAAGAGGATATTATAAAATCAGATAATTTGGAAGGGTATAATCTCAGTACTAAAAACTTGAATAAACAAACTTAGCTTTATGAAAAACTGGTTACTTAACAAAATTAGGGATTTTACTTTCTTGTATAAATTAACGTTTACTCTCTTGTGTATACTATTATAGTAAATTAAAATCTTGACTCATTTTTCTTTTTACTATGTTCATTAACACCTGGCAGCTCATTTCTCTCCAGCACAGGTCAACTCTTGACAGAAGGAAAAGCAGAAAGTGTGAAAAGGGTAGGTCAGTGGAGTTGACTCCTTTTTTAATGTGCTTTTTTCAAGCCCCACCCGATGTCTTATTCTTTATGTGTGTGTGTGTGTGTGTGTGTGTGTGTGTCTTTTTTTAACTTTCCTGTGTGGTCCAGTAGCCAGTCTGCTACTCCCCACCTTGGCTTACAAAGTACTTGAGCTCTAAAGAAAATGGAGGAAGGGATTTCCTCTCAAATTTCCCTTAGTTTTCACTCCATAATAGTCATCATCATTATGGGGAGAATAATTCACTGGGGCTAACAACTGGGCAGGTCTTAGGAAACAGCCAACCCAGATGCTCCAGCCTCCTTGTCCTGTGGATTCATGAAAATGTTGGGGGTTCCCATAGAGGGAGATAGGGTTGTGTGGGGGAAAGGTTGGTGTATCCACTTTCAAAATGGCTGACCCCGAAGCCACTGAGATGTCTGCCCAGCTATTTTTTTTTTTTTAATTATTTATGCACACAAGAGCTGAGGTGCAGGGATGAGAAGACAGAATGGGGGGCAGCACAGGGCAAATCTGAAATACACTGCTGAGGGGAGCAGTGGGCAAAGCGTGTGAGACCAGAGATGTCTGCACCATGTCGATAGTTCCCTGGCTAAGGATCCTACCGTGCTGCAGATTGCTTCATAGTGCTGTGCTTTAACAAGACTTGTGCCACCTTCCCCTTGTTTAACTAATCTTCCCTGAGTGTTGATCCAAAACTAGAGCCAGTGACACTGGTAGTGCCACAAGCAAGGTGGCACCTTCCATTTAGGTGATTGCCAGCAGGGTTCTTTCATCCCTCACCTGGGTTCCCGGGAACATGCTAAAACAGGTTCCAGGCCATCTGTCACCTGAGTCCAGCCAAGCAGTCAGATACAGAGTGCCCCAGTTGCTGATATGGGTATCCATTTGAAATGGCTTCTGCAAAAACTGTTGCTAGGGCTCACCTACCATGCTTGAAGTGATTCAGTCCATCAAAGGATATTTTCTGGGCCCCAGGTCCCAGGACAACACACAAAAATGGCTTTAAGCACACAGTCACAAGGACTAGGGGAGTGACTGATGGGTATGGCTCTGAATATGCTTATGTTTTATTAGTCAGAAATGTATCACATGGTCACCCCTGGTTAAAAGGGAGGCTGGGAAGTGCTTCTTGGTTTTAAAATGTTCTCAGTAAGGAAGGAAGAAGGAATGATACGTCGGGACCTCGACTAGAAAATCAATGAGCTTTGTCCATTGTCATTTTGCATCATATAAATAATTGAAAAAAGAAGTATGGGAAGATGGCAGTGATAGCAACATTTCCTAACCTCCTTTATTCCCCCTTAAAAGCAAAGCAAATAAGCTATACAGCCCCCAAAACCTACAGACACCATCTACAACAACCTAGGAGAAGAAATAACAAATCTGAAAATTCAGTAGATGGCAGCTCCGACTTGCATGGTATTGGTATTTTTGTGCAAAGGAGAGAGGGAAGCAACATGGTAGATGCCTGAGAAATCTGAAAATAAAGGGTCCCCAAAATCATGAACAAGAACTACATGTTAAGGACAGTGGACCATTTGGAGAATGGTCTCATTTGTAGCTGATAAGTTACGGGATCAAAGTAAGCCTGAAGATGTTAGAACAGCCCAGATCCTATGAAGTCTCAAAACCAGCTCAAGTGTCTTTCCAGAACACCAGTACAGACATTATGGGCAGATTTAGGGTAGGACATGTATATTTGGGGCAAAGGAACAATAAGGCTGAGCGAGAATGGAGAGGGGAACAGAGCCAGGGGACCTCAGAGTATGAAGTTACATTTTGAACACTTCATGGAAACAGAAAAGGAAGCCATAGAACTTTGAAAATAATAAAACATTCCTGAATCACCCCTCCCTCCTAATGTGCAGGAAAACTAATTTCATGAAAAATGAGCAACAGAAAGGACTGCAGCCCAATCTAATGAAATTATAAGAAAAATGAGAACCAGGAGCGGAGTAACATCCCTAATGAAATGGAAGCATCCCAACAGACATGTCCACAAAACCAGATAAAAGCTCTAACTTATTATTTCAAAATGACCTAAAGTAAGAAAATAATACAAGATATGAAAGGAGGACAGATCAGAATTGGACAGCAGAAATTAGAAATGAGACTCAGAAAGAATTGGAAAGTACAGAGAAAATTCATAAATAAAGACTGAACTAGAAGGAATATCATAGTAACATAGTTGTTGCATGACAGAGGATGCCTTAAGGGAGTAAGTGACAAAATGAAAAAAAAATTTAATTCCAGAACAACTAAAGAAATAGCAAAGCATTCAGGGCAAAATGACATACAGAACAGAGGCAAACAAAAACCTATCGTGTATTACATGTCTCTGGAGAAGAAAAAATAATGTAATGAAGGAGAATGCCACCACCACTGCCACCACCCCATAAATTAAAAAGAAAACTTCATGAAAAAAAATGTAAAAACTTTGAGACCTAAGGAAATCAACATAGAGAAAAGCTACCTAGGGAAATCAGCTCTAGGAAAGATAAGACACTGAAACATATTCTAAAGTAAAAGTAAAATTGGTGGGTTTTAAAGAAAATACATTTTGGCCATCCAGGCTAAAAGACATTCACTTCGAAGGAAAAGAAAATCATATTGTCACACTTTTTTTTTTTTTTTAGACAAAAAAATCGCAGGGTGCTTTATTAGAAAAGAAATTAACTTTTCACACTAGAGACTGTGAAAGGAAATTCATCTTGCAATTCTAGAACAAACTTCAAAATAAGGGATTCGAAAGTTCTCAAAAGGGGGGGAAGAAAAAATTTAGGCCAGTGTCTCAAATTTGGCTCCTTTCACAGATATGCTTGGAGATTTTATATTTTTATATGCAAATGCTTACATTTTATGTTTTACTTTTGTGACACATTAAATCAAATTAACACATACCTGGAATACCTTGTATAACAGAGTGTTGCTACATGAATGCAACAACTGCACTTGAACCTCTGATCCTGAGGCACCCACTGAAAACAACTGAGCTTAAATTTCCATCTGGAGCTTCTCAGTTGAGTCCTGAGGCCCTTCCTAGAATTGTTGAGCAGCTCCTATAAGATCTGAATTATCAAGGTCTGTAACATTAGCTCAGAGCACTGATTAAGATAGAATGGGGTAGGTCTGAGGACCCCATGATTAAAATCACTCAACATACCCATTGCCAAACAGAAAGACCCTCTCTGGGGTCATTGCATGAATCCTAAGCCATGGAACCCAAAGGACCAATCTAGAAGAATTCTAAGCTATATATCAACCTTCTCTGACCTATGACTTGGGGCAAGTTGGTCTACTTTTAATACTGAATCAAAAGAAGAAAAGATTGATTTTTCCCCCACCCTTCCCTTTTTATCATTAATATTATTTCAGAATTGGCAGTCAACAGTTGCTGTAGCTGGGTAAATAGAGCCCCGGTTCATTCACTGATGTGCTGTCATCATTTGCGATGCCATCCATCTCTCAGGGGGACTTCAGCTTGGGAACTGTAATTATTGTAGAGCTCCAATTTCTTTTAGCCGCTTCAAGAGTTCCCCATTCTGTTGCATAGCTACTAGATCACTGCATCCACCTATACAATCTTTACCCAGAAAGACCCGGGGCACCGTTCTGGCTCCAGTGAGCTGTTGCAAATAATCTTGAATCTCATTTGTGTCACCGGTGGCTGTGATATCGACAAATTCCAAAAACCCTTCTTTGAAGGGCAATTGGCCCAGGATCTCTTGGGTCTTTTTGCAGTAAGGGCAGGTGGGTTTGATGAACACCACTACCTTCCCTGGCTGGATTTTGCTGTTTACAAACTCTTGAGCCATGCTGACAGACTGCTGCTTCCCCGGGAGGAATCCTCTAGTGCAGGTACAGCTCTGGGTGTAGAGCTCTTGTCACACTTTTTGACAACTGCATTTTGTTTCAGAAGACTAGAGACTCAGGTATCGAAGGAATGAAAATGTGAGCTAAGAGTTATTAGAGAAACTGACTTTCAAATATAAAGGCGTCAGACAAAATGCTATCATCATAGAACAGAGGGGGTGGCCTCATGAGACATTTCTGAGACATCTCCAAGAGAACATAATTCAGATAACTCAAATGACCTGTGAAGTAACAGGTAGCAAATGCTTAAGGTACATCTTTTTGTAGAATGACAGGAGACTATAATGTTTATGTGCCCTTAAAGGTAAGTGTACATTAGAACAAAAATGGAACAAGAATAGAGAGGACATTTATAAATTGCAGATTGCTTTATAATTTTTTAAAAAGATTTATTTATGCATACAGACCTGGGGTACAGACCAGAGGTGCAGGGGTGGTGAGAAAATTCACCAGAGACAGAGTGGGGAGCAGAATAGGCAGATCCATGAAGTACACTGCTGAGGGGAGTAGCGGGTGTGTCAGGAGAGGTCTGCCACGCCATGTGGGTCACCTCAGGGACTGGGGTTTGATCTTGCTCAGAAGAGGCTGCTGCTAGTTTGCAGTGCTGTGCTTTAACCCATTGCGCCACCAGTGAGGGCCCTGCTTTATAGTTTTTAACCAAAAGTAAGAGACTATTGCTTCAAAACAGAGATTGGAAAAGAAGGGCACAGGATAAAGTACTAGATGATGCCAGTGTTGTTCCTAAGGGCGAAACTACATAGTAATCACCTTTCCCAGATAGAGGGAATTAAAGATGTTCTATGAATAAATTTAAAATTTTTTCAATGAATAATGTTCTATGAAGGAAATAATCATTTAAAAAAACAAACTTTTGTCATTTATTTTAAAAAGTAGAGAGTAAGCAAATAAATATACAGTGAAATAGTACACAAAAGAGTTGAACAGTAGATGTGGGTGTGAATTCCTGCTTCACATCAGCTCTCCCATCGGCTTCCGCTATACATGATTATATAGTAAAGAGAAACTTATATGTTGAAGGGCAAAAGTGCAAATTGCTTATATAATTCTCACTGCCCAATATGTAACACACATGTCTATTGAAAACAAGATCTTCAGACTGAGGGAATTTGAATGCACGATCATCTGACTCCACATTTTGTTCTTTGTCTCTGGGCAGGGCAGACATATCCATTGAATGGTGGAATTAAGAATTTTTAGAAGGAGAGATTTGATAGGTAAGGTTTCATGGAAGACATGGTCTTTAGAGATGCAGAACACAGCTGAACCAGCGGCATGAAGGAGAAAAAAAAATATTTGTTGGTGAGGTGGGCGGGGGCTTTAGTTTCTCAGACCTACATTCACTCAATTTCCAAAAACAAAACTATAAAACAAAAACTGATAACCAGTACCACCACATGAATTAGTTGAGAGTAGGGTTTAGAAAAATGAGGGTCTTGTATACTAGACAGGAAGATCTCTGCTCCAATGTACATACCAACAGGGAACAGCCTGGTATTTGGTCCCTACTCAGGGCTGTGTAATGCTGGTGGGGTAAATTAATAAGGTAATTCATAAAACAAAGGGTTTTTTTTTATATAATGACTTCTTATTTATTCTTCATCTTACAAAAGTTATCCTTTTTTTTTTTTAAACAAAGGGTTTAAAAAAAATAATTTTATTTGTGCACACAGGAACTGGGGTATATAGGCCAGCGGTACAAGGTGTGAGAGGATTCACCAGAGACAGAGTGGGGAGCAGAACAGGCAGGCTGATGGAAATACACTGCTGAGGGGAGCAGCAGGCGAAACAGGAGAGGTCTGCTGTGCCCTGTGAGTCACCTGCCAGGCTGCAGTGGCTGCAGATAGTTTTATGGTTCTGCGATTTAACCCCTTGTGCCACCAGGCAGGCCTCATACAAAGTTTTTAGTACTTTTCAAAGCCTCTTTATTTTTAAGAATTTTTTTAAAAAGTGTATTATTTTTTATTAAGGTAATGTTGATTTACAACACTATCTGTTTTAGGGGATGGGGCTCATATTGCTTCAGATGTATGTGACCACACCACAAATAATTGTTCTTCCTTCTCAAGGCTTCTTTAGGTTACTGTATTTACTAGCTTTTTGTGTTATCCAGTATCAAAATCTATAGGTTATTTTACAGTAAGCTCCAAATGAGGACTTAAAGCAACAAAGTTTTATTTCTAGCTTTTATGTGCATCACAGGTTGCCAGGAAAACTCTTCATTCTAATCACTTAGGCCCCCTGAGTTGTTGGAACAATTACCATGTCAAATATTGCTGGTCTGTGTGCCAGAGGAAAGGGGGAAATGCAGGGTTTCACATTGGCAATTAACTTTTCCATTTATAAGTGACACATACCACTTCTGGTCACAAATCATTGATCAGCAGTTAGAGCTAACTTGAAAGAGTGCCAGGAAGTGCAATCCTGTTATATGTTTAAAAAGCAGAGAACTTGTCATACTTGTTGAATAGTATTAATGACTGTCCCACTGTTTGAAAGGAGTAATGGTGCTCAATTTATATAATAGAAGAAACAGTGTAGACTACTACTCCCCTTTTTATAGTTGAGGAAACTGATGCACTAAGAGGTTGGTTTACTTGTTCATGACAACCTGTTATTTAACAGGGAGTTAGAATCAAAAGCTGTTTTTGGGCGATAAAACCTTTACCTAGTACCTGCCAGGCACTTAGGTATTCATGTGAAAAACCTTTGATCATGGCTCTTATGTACTTGGAGTTGGGGCACCAAGTAGCCTCATCTTATCATTAAATTTCATTTTATTGTCTGTGTCTTCAGCAGATGGTAAAATCAGACCTTGTAAACAAACTAAGCCAGGTTAAAGGGGAGTGAAATTCTGGTTACACACTTTGCTCATATTATGTAGATTTTTCTTCAAGGATTCCCACCCCTGTTATTGCTCTTTTTCTTTGAAATCTAACTATCCAGGCAGCAGAGGAAACCCTACCAAACAGCCAGCAAGAATTATAGCTTGGTTCTAAAGGGAGGGTATTGAAGGAGAAGGAGCCTGATCCTTATTTTCAGTATGCTGAGCCTTTGAAATTCTTCCCCAAGCCTTGGAGTTTGAAAAAAAATAATAGTTTAGGTTTACTCTGAGGTATATATCCTCCATGCCCCCCCAGGAAATATGATCCACTAGGTTTAAATTTATTTTTGTTGACTCATCAAAGTACTGTTTCACAGGGAACTTTAGATGCCTAATGAGCATTTGGAAATTGATAATCACATTTTATTGCGTCAACAACCTTATCTCTTGAAAGGGCTGAACAGTTTACCGATGGAAAGAAAGATTATTTGCTCCCACCACTCTATATATTTCAGGCTATAAAAGTGCCCAGGGGTATAGAATTGACTGCTTTGAAATGAAAATTTTGGGAAATGATGACTTATTTAAAAACATAATATTAACACAATTTGAAAACAAGAAGTAATTCCTGTATCTTGTACCTTGTTGGAGACAGTGGTGTCTTAAAACAGGAGTGCAGATTCTTCAGGGACTCTGTTACATATTAGATCATCTTTGTCTATCTTTGCTATTCATTGCTTTTTAAAAAATCATTTTTGTTTATTCCCTTTTTATTAAAAAATCCTTTTGTTATGGCATCGCTATTGTGTTCTTTACTCAAGTTTCTTCTAGTTCAACTTTCATTTCTATGTAATTTTTCTGTTTCTTCCCTGAGGTTTTCTGGAACTAATTAGCGTTGCTTTTTCAATGAGAGAGTATCTGGGGGCCCCTCAGTCCCACTCTCCAACAACAGAGGCAAATAACCTGGAGTGAACCAGCTGTCGTCCATTGCTCCACCTGTTGGGAGTTGAGGGATCATTTCCCCAAACCCCAGGAACGGGCTCTTGAGACTCTTCAGTCAAGATAAGAAAGGACTCCACAGACACCGTGGGAGCAGGCAAGGAGTCAGGATTTTATTGATAAGTGAAAAAGCAAGCAAAATATACTTTGAGGAGACCTCTCTGGGCATGACTCTGAGGTGCCAGAGCTGCAGGTCTATATAGACTTTTGAACTAGGGGTTGAAAACAAAGGAATTAAGGAGAGCGGGCTTGGCTAAAGTCCATTTATTGTTGCTAATTGTCAGTCTCAGTCATCTCAGTTTAATGATCATGCAGGGCTCACTCAGAGGTGTATCCTCTGCAAGCTGTGTGCAGCAATTCCAGTTTGAACCTGTTTTCTCCTGAGTCTGTGACTCCTACCCGCTCCTCTCAACTCCCCCCACCCCCAAACACAGCCAATTTTATAAGTTGTGGAAAGCTAGCTCAGGAATGCACAGGTGGGGGAAAAATAGTTAAAACAACAACAACAACAACAACAAAAAACTCTGTCAAGGACATTTATGGCAGATGCCTGGCCTAGAGTCATTGGCCTTTTTTTATTTTTCTTTAAGATTTATTTATGTATTCAAGAACTGGTGTACATGCCAGAGCTTGGGGTGGAGGTGAGGGGATTCACTAGAGACAGAGTAAGGAGCAGATTTTCTTTAACCTTTTAGTTACAGCCCATAGAACAGAAAAATTTTGTCCTTGAGTCCTGCCTTATCCTCTCCCCTAGACCCTTCCTGTCTCAGCAGAACTGGAACTAGAAACCAGATCTTAGGAAACCAAATGCATTTCTAGGGTAAAATGACTTTTCAGGTTCCCTAAAATTAGTAACTTTGCGGAGAGGGCTGCAATATTCCTCGATTTCACTTTTAGGCAGTCAATGGTAAAATAGGGGAAACTAAGGCAAATAATTTTTAAGGTCTTTCTAACTGTAGAATTCTAAACAATCACCTCTAGCTAGCATCACTATCTTAAAAGACTACGATTCCCAGCATGCCACAGAATACTACCGGAAAGAGCTGGCTCCCAGCATGCTGTGCTTTGGAACTGCTACTCCCACAATGCAACGCTCTTCCTTATCCTCGCCGCCGGAGGACCATGGGAACTACAGTTCCCAGAATGCAGCGCCGCCCCCAGTTTCTGGTGGCCCCCAGGACGCTGCTTCGGAGAGACCTTTTAGGTTCCAGAGGGCGGGTCCTGAGGTCCCAACTCTCTTCAGGGGACGTGTCTGCGAGGCGGTGCTGGCCTGTTCGGCCAGTCCAGACGAAGCCTCCACGGGATGGGTTGGGGCCTGGGCTGTACTTCTCTCAGGCAGAGATTGGGGCAGCCCCAGAGAGGGCCTTCTGGGGCCTTCCCGCCTTTGAACTGCGGTGGCGGGCGGGCGAGCAGCCTGCTGCACCCCTCAGAGTAGGGGCCGCCATCACCATGGCCACCGCTGCGAGTCGGCCCTGCGCCGGGCGATCGCGGGACATTCTGTGGCGCGTGAGTGCTGCGCGCACTGTGGCGTGCTGTCAGAGGCTGCTGGGGTGGGGGCAGACTTGACAGGCGCTCTTGGCGCGTGCGCTCTGGGCGGGGGAGGGGCCGCCATAATGTAGCGTGGGGAGCGCGTGTGAACCCGACCACCCGACGGAATTATTACTCGGTTTTGAGGGCGTCTTGAGTGGAATCTGGCTATGGGATGGGAGGGGGCGTGATGAAGAAAGCTGGTGGCAGGGTGTTTGCATGCGCGACGTTTGAGTGTTTGTTACTAGTCATGAGTGGAAGCTGGTAATGGTGTAAGGAACGCCTGCTGGTAATGGTGTAAGGGGCAGGGTATGGTTTGATGCAAGAGTGGTGTCTTTAGTGGGTGTAAAACAGGTGACTTGTTAGTTACTTGGGATAGAAGTAGGGGAGATCCGGAACTGGAAAGAATGTGGCGTGATGTTAGTAGAGACTTGGGCTTAGAGGTTAGATGAACAGATCAGGTGTCTGTTGTTAAGGTGTTAGAGGAAGGTGTGCACTGTGCGGCTGATATGAAAGACATGAAATACTTGCTGAAGTCGAATCAGTGGTTCTCCATCCATTTTGTGGAGGGTAACGGGAAAGCGGAATAAGATGCCTTTTAGAATAGCACTTGAACCCTAGTGACACTACTACCTACCTGTAGCCCAGGCCGAATGCTTGGGTCTTTAAGCATTATATTCGTTACCACCTATGGTATAAATCACGGAAGTCCTGTAGATTATAATGCTGGTCTTTAAATAAAGTCATAGAACAAAATTACGTTATTTGAGGACATGATATCCTTATATGGCGCCCTTTTGTTTAAACTTGCAGTTTCCAAGAATCTACCAATTAAGTGAGGACTTAATGCACTTCAGAAATGTGGCAGCGATTTTTTTTTCCTTTTCCACTTATTTTCTTCCTTCAGATTCTGACTATAATTTTAAAAAAGATTTATTTATTTATGCATACTGGGGTACAGTATGGCTAGAGGTGGGGAGCGTGTGTGTGTGTGTGTGTGTGTCTGTGTCTGTGTGTCTGTGTCTGTGTGAGAGAGAGGGGATTCACTAGAAATATAGTGGGAGCAGAAAGGGCAGATCCACTGAAATACACTGTTGAAGGGAGCAGCGAGCAAGACAGGAGAGGTCTGCTGCACCATATAGCTTTTATTGCTGTGCTTTAATATTTAACCCCTTGCACCACCAGGGAGGCATCTCTGACTACAGTCTACAGTCATTGGCTTGGGCAGGTGCTGTGGACTGCCTCCTAACTGCTTTGTTTGCTGCCTTAATCTGTCCCCTCTGATTCATCTTCACTATAGCCACTTTACAGATGCAAGAGTGATTTATGACCCCAAACATGTAACTTCCATGCTTAAAACCCTCCAATATCTCTCCTTGCATTCATTTATTTAACAATAAACTTGCCCCATGTGTGGTATATACTGGTGATTCAATATAAATGCATCACAGTAGTTGCCCATTAGGGAGTGTACATCCAATCATTATAAATGCAGTTAGCTGTATACAGGTGATTCCCATAAAATGTATACTGCTTTTAGAGATTAACATCAATTTAAACTAGAGAGGTAAGTATAAGTTGCTATAAAAGTTGTAAAGCTAATAAGACAACCCTCTCCCCTGTCCCTGTGATACCTAGTTTTCATCAAACTTGACTAAGGCATCACTTCATTGATAACACAATGTTGTGAAGTGTTATTAATAGTGGTAACCACCTGGGCTTATAGCTGCAAGGACTGTGGTTTGTATATAAATACTAGTATCTGACATCCTGTATGAAAAGAAAGTGTTTGCCTAGTGAAAGTAGCTTAACTGACTTCATGATTGAGTGTTTTTGTTTAATTACAGGTTTTGGGCTGGAGGATAGTTTCAAGTATTGTTTGGTCAGTGCTGCTTCTACCCATCTGTATGACAGTATTTATAATCTTCAGCAGCATTGATCTATTTCATCCTATACAGTGGCTGTCAGGTAAGTGGTACTCAGTTCAGGGAAAACAAAATTTATATGACTTTCTTCTCAACATAAGAGGTGAATTATGTTTCAGATAATTTATTTTTGATTATTCCCTACCGATGTTGACATGCCAAAAATACTTACCCTGAGGTAATTTTAAGGCATTTCCTTCATAACGTACACCATCATTTCATTCTGTAATATTATTAATCTGTCAGGGAATATGTATTACATGAACCAGAAAAATCATTAGAAAATGACATAAATGAAAACAATTTTGTGGGGTTTTTTGAGAGCTATTTTGAGATTAATAGTTTTTAGATTGATTTATTTATGCATACAGAACTGGGGTACAGGCCAGAGATGTGGGGGTTGAGAGGATTCACCAGAGGCAGTGGGGAGCAGAATAGGCAAATCTACTGAAATACACTGCTGAGGGGAGCAATGGGTGAGAAAGACGATGTATCCTATGCTATGTGGGTCACCTCCCTAGCCAGGGATCGAAATCTAGCTGCAGAGGCTGCAGATAGCTTCATAGTGCTGTGCCGTATTTTAACCTGTTGTGCTACTGGGGAGGGCCCTCCACATTTACATTCTTTATTAATTTTAGTCAATGAGTTGTACCTTAAGAAATGTTTAATTTTGTTATTAAATTTTAGTTAATTCAGCAAAATCTCCTTGTTTGTGTTTCTCTTATTCCAGTTTTCAGGCATAATACAGGTTTTTAACTCTTCTTTTTAAAATGGGATATTGGTTATTGCGCTAATCTGAAATGTGATGTATTAGTATTATACAGGGACATCATGATTCTTTTTAAATTCAGCTTACTTAGATATTTATAGATTATGCTATTACCAGAAAAGTTACTTTGATTTTAGCTATAGGGGCTAGTTGCTTTTATTAGAAAGATCATGGTATACTACTAAATATGGTATTTCTTTTGCATGTGAAATTTATTTTGCATATGGTTTTATTTTGTCTGATGTTAATATGAGTCATCTGAAAGATATTGTAATATAATTTTAAAGGACTCAGTGCTTGGTTTGCTTGGTCCAAATACCTCATGTTGTAGTTCTTCAATCTTTTGGACCTGTCAGCTATATATATGAATAAATTCTTTAAAACAAAGATAACTTAAAGTTATAGTTGTGGTTCAAATCCTATTCTTAATACAATTTATTGGATATAACTACACAACTGGATGAACTAACACTAGGTATCTTTTATCTGTTTTAGATTCTTTCAATGACTTGTATAGTTCCTATGTAATCTTCTACCTCCTGCTGCTGTCAGTGGTAATAGTAATAATAAGTATTTTCAATGTGGAATTCTATGCAGGTGAGTTTTCAGATGTTAACCACCTTAAGAATGTCCAAATTTATTTTTCTAAGGTCAAACTCAATACATTTTGTATGTGGGTTGGTGTAATAGGCTGTGTTTCATGTCAAAGTTGTATATTTTTTTGTTATTTTTATTGTGTTGATGTTAAAAAAGTATGTAGAATAATGTCTTTGAATGACTTAGCTTAAAATTGAGAGTACTAGTTTCTCTGTTTTAAAAAATACTTAGATCTTTTAGAACAAATATTTTATTGCACTTACATGAGGTGCCCAACGTACTCAGGTTCATAAACAGAAAGTACAATAGTAATTGCCAGCACCTGGGGGAAGAGAGAATAGGAAATTATTTCAGAGGTACAGAGTACTAGCTGCAGAAGATGGAAAGGTCTGGAGGTTGATAGTGGTGATGGCTGCACAATGGTATGAACATACTTATGCCACAGTACTGTGCATTTAAAAATGGCTTTAATGGTAAACTTTATTTAAGGGTATTTTACGAGACGAGAAACAACTTAGAACCTTCTAACAATTCAGCAGATATATTGTAAAAATAATACCTTTATGGGGTAGGAGATCAGAACCTGGTCATTTCTTAGGTCTTTTGCAAATATAAAAGTCTAATTTTATGATTTTTGAAAAAACTTTAAAAATATTATTCATTTTGCCTTTAGAAATAACCTGCTAGATTGCAAAGCTTTTTTACTTTTCCTCAGTTTTTCTTCTTAATCTTCTCTTTTCAGATTCTTTGAGTCTGTCCTTAAGATACAAGAAGAAGCTTTTTCTGACACTTCTTGTTTTGACTGTAACATCATTTTCCTTTTAGTTCTTCAGTAGTTTCTTGTTAGATATGACATAAAATTTCAAATTAACTCTGGATGTTATAATACATACCCTCTTCTTTGCTTTTGTTTTTCTAGCTCCTTGGCTCATAGTATGTGTTCTTACATACATATACCTGTGTCATCTGTACGTAGATATGCCAGACCAGAGCTCCCAAAGCTAGTCCTTACTGAAACTGACTAATCATTTTTCAACAAGCATTCCTTATGCATTTATTATTAGTCATGCATTGTATGGTGAGAAGAGACAAATTGCACAGTCCCAACTTTCTTCCTCAGGATCATAATTAATAGGAAGACAGATAGTAAACATATTAAGCATAGTTATAATCCAAGGGGTAGTATGAGAGTACATAGGAAAACCACTTATCTGTCCTGGAGAGCTTCCTGTAGGAGGTAAAACTTAAACCAAGCCTTGAAGGATGAATTGTATTAAGTAGAAAACAAGGAAAAGGTATTGCACATAAAAAGACTTAGAAGACTGAGAAGGTTTGATATATTCAGAGTATTCAGAGTATGCACAGTACATAGGGCCTCTGGGCATTTCTGGTGAAGTGAGAGAAGTGATTAGTAGTTTCTTCCCAAAGTGTAAAGCACCTAAGCCTTTTCCCTTCACACTTAGTTTCCTGCCTCCCAAAGTCTCTTCCTTCTGGGTCTATTGAAAAAAGAACTCTGCGCTAGCTGATTTCACAGGTTAGCATCCCTCATCTTCCATACTTGCTTTGCCAGAAAATGCTTTTGGATTATCAGAGAGGCATCAGAAATTTCCATTCAAGTGTTTATTTTAGTGTTCGGCCCCATCAGTATTTACCTGTTTTGTGGTTTATCAGATGATTATATAATTGACCATTTCAAATACTGGAAGGTGAGCACTAACTTTACAAATTTTTTATTAAATTTGTTTATTTTCTTACAAAATTGTTAATTTTTGTACAGAATTTGATTTCTCCACTTAGGTGTAGTCCCTGTAGTTCTCCTATCACCATAGCACCCGTGATCCATCACCATAATCCCTTGAAGTGCTAGTTTTTAAAATTGATTATTCTTTTATGGCACTTTGAAGAGTACCAGACTCCAAGCACTCGTTTTGAGCAGCCAAGGAATTTAAAAAACAAAGTATTAATCATACTGTTCTTAGGTTTCGCTCTCTAGATTGTTTTGGTTGTGTATGTGTATCTCTGTATTCAATCCTTATTCAAATTTTTTCAGCTTAGAATTATTCTGTACTGTATTTTACATTGACTCTGGTTTTCTCCCTGCCTGTTGGCATGTTCGTGGGACAAATGCTTTGGAGCAAGGATAAGAGGAAATAGTTTGGCTCCACTAACTTCCTGTGCTGAGATTACCAAGCCACTGTCATGTGTTTTGCTTGCAGTCGTGCCTTCTATTCCCTGCTCTAGACTGGCGCTCATCGGGAAGATTATTCATCCTCAGCAGCTCATGCACTCATTTATTCATGCTGCGATGGGAATGATGATGGCTTGGTGTGCTGCAGTGATAACCAAGGGGCGGTACAGTTTGCTCGTGGTTCCTTGCACTGGCACTGAGAGGTAATGTTAAATGTGTTTTCCAAAGAAGTTTATATAGTTAACTAAACCAAAGATGACAGGTATGGTTTATTAATGTATGCACATTCTTTGTTTTCCAGACACTACAGAATATACTTTTTTATCTGTATTATGTCTTATGTTTGCTGAATTCAACAGTTTTCTAAAAGTACTTATTTTGTGTAAGGTGCTATGTTTGATTTATGAGTGATTCACTCATAGGCTGAACTTGAGAACAATAGACAAAGTAAGACATGGTAGAAATGGATGTGATAGCAGTAGTGGATGTACTATGGAGAAAGTGAGATGTGCAGATAAAATTTCGGAATTTCAGAAAGCAGGGAGGTTCCACACATGGCTTCCTGGAAACAGTGGCGTTAAGTTGAGTTAGAATGAAGGATAGTATGCATAAAAAGCAGAAAAAAACTAAAGCAATTATAAATACCTACTTCATTGACATACTTTTATAAAATACAGTCTTGAACGCGTGGTGGTGTTATAGATTACATTTTGATCACTGGTGTAATCTTGTGTCCTATGACTACAGCGAATACTTGATTTTCTTTTGTCCCTCAGCTATATTATATAAAGCAGATTTTTTCCTATTATAAATTGTTTTTAGTGAAAAGCGTCCCTAGGAGGGGATATCCAATTATGAGAGAGCACACAGAGAGAAGCCTGTGGTTATGGCTTCTCTGTCAAGTATATACAGTTTATTTGTAGTGCCTTTTAGTCCCGATACAGCTTGCCAGCTTTTAAATAATGTTACTTACTGTGGCAGGTGACATACCTAGCCTTATCAGACTTCCAGAGGAGTGTGGTCAAGTTCTCATGCTTCATAGAAAAGGATTTTAATGATCTTTTGCCCACACTTACCAACAATGAACCATTTTATTGAAACTTGGAACATATCTTAAGTGATTAAGTCAAAACCTTGCTTTACTAAGTTTAAAATAGTGAGTTGGGTCTCTGACTATTCAATTACTAACCTAAATTTTCCCTTTCAGTTTAGATAGCCCTACTGCACCAACCTGCTTAAATGAATACCACCTCTTCTTCTTACTGGCTGGAGCATTTATGGGCTATAGCTATAGTCTGCTGTATTTTATTAACAACATGAACTATCTTCCATTTCCCATCATACAGGTAAGATAGCAGTTGAGCATTACCTTATGTCAGAATGTGACAAAGTTAAAATTTCCTTTGTATATTTGTATGTAACTGGCCTCATCATTAATTCATAATTTGATCAGTTCAGAGCTGAGATCCTCCAAATACCATTTGGAGAGGAGATACTTGTCTTCACGAGACTTAAACATATGTTTGAGAACTGTAGCTTCCCTCCTGTGGCCACTCTCAGAATACCACTTTGCTCCACTCTTTCCCTCCCTGCTAGGTAGTGGCAGTTGCTGTGACCTAGCAGGGCTAGGGGAAGATGATGAAATTCATGCAAAGTACCTCTATGCAGCTGCCAGCTTCTTTTTGAATCTAAGAATCTCATGAGCTTGAGGATGTGCAAGTAAGTATAGAATATATTAGTTACTGTCTCAAGTATTTTCAGAATAAGGAATGATGTGTATAAATAAAAGACAATTTTGACTGATTTGAGTGGGCCAATTTAAAGTATCTTTTGGTTAGGGATTTTGGAAATCTAATCTCCTAGGAGTTGTCTCTGGAACTGAGATCATCTCTGGCAGGAGAAAGATGGGGTTGAGATGTCTCACTGTGGCATCATGGCTGTCCCCAGCCTGTCCTCATTCCTGACTCAGCTTTCATTTGCTTCTTCCCTGCTCTGTGGCAGGCTGAGAATTGAGTGTTGGAGCAAAACTGTTAGAGCCAGCCCCCTAGCTCCCACTAAGACCTAGTCTGATGGGAAGGGAAGGATGTATAAAATACAAACTGTGTATCATACGAGTATAAAGTAGGTGAGTGTGATAGATAAGGGCTCTTCTGTTTTAAGTTTTCACATTAAATCCAAGAGAACAATGAATAAAAATAACCACCTTGCAGGGAGTTAGTGCTAACTGGAAGGGTCTCCCCCTTCCTTCCTTGCAACATCTGAGTATATGAAGTAGAGATTTCTTCATATCTTGTAAAGAAAGCATTAAGAGCAGAATGTCAGCTTTGCCACCTCAAAATTTTATAAAATCTTTTATACAAGTATCCATAGTATCCACCTTTGACCTAAATATGATTAAGAATATGGAAGATGAAGAAAAGAGTTAGAAAAAGAACAAGCTACTCTAAGACACTTTGCTCTTCCACGGACCTCCATTGAAAGCAACCACCTGTTTGATGACACAAATATCACAGGTGTACTAGCATGGATGCAGGGGCAGTCTGGTAGTTGAAAGTGCTGATCAATTACTGCACTAATGTGTGAAATCTGGTTACATTTTTTATAACTTCTTTTGATAAAGTTTCATATTTGTTCTTACATCATAGAAGTTCATTCTTGTTGAAGCTTTGGTTTCAGATTCAGTTTTGATAGAATGTTGGTTTTTAACATTTTGCTAGTCAGTATTTAGGCAAAATATATTTTGGGGTCATCTTCTGTAACCATGAGTGTACAGTGGGATTTGATCTAGCCTAGATATGGTTAGAGCAGGCGGTTTTGCTGGGCAGGTACAGCAGATTGAGGAAGATGAGAATTTTCAGGATTAGTTAAGATGTTGGGTCTTAGTTTGTTATACATCAAGTTTGCAACTATCTTTATTTGCCTAACTGGGTACAGTTGTCTC